AGATCGCTGGCATAGCGCGGTCGGATCCGTGAGCGCCCCTCACTCGCGGCACATCCTCAGCCCGGAATATTAGTGACGTGCCTGTGCGTAGAGCTTGTCCGCGGAAACGGCTTCTCCTTTGGCTGCAGATATGTCGAGATTGATGCGCAGAGTTGCGAGCCAAGTCGGTGCAGAGCCATTCCATCGCTCCTCAGAATGGGCAAAACCGGATGGAGGCTCGATGAGACGTTGATCCTGGCCAGACCATTCATTGTGGACACTCGCTTTTGGCTGAGGAGTTGGCATTTCCACCATCCCACGCTCGTACAAGTTGAGTACCGCTAGGTAATAGTATTACTCTGCATATCCAAGCACATAAGAATGCTGCCTTGGTGTGCGACAGACAATGCCACTTGTGCTGTAAGCCAGCGGCGACCTCCGCAGTGGGACACCCAAACGGTCCAGTAAGAGTCCAATTGACGGACTGGGGTTTGCTATCGTCGAGCCCGCAGTTGCTTAAACGATGCCTTTGCATGCACAACGAGTTTTGCCGACTGCAGTGTGAAAGGGTCAAAATTATGCCATGCTTGTACAACAAGGTGGTGACTAGGCATGGAAGACCCCCGAAGTCTCATTAGCCGTTATGCGGTTGGCTGCACATTGCATGACATGTACTTTACCACTTTGCACGCTCCCATACCCCCATTGGGCATTGAGCTTTTCCTTGTACAAGTAAGAAAGTACAAAGTAGATACCTTGCACTTGCGTATAAATCCCTCTATCGCAGAGAGAGAACTGCCGTCAGTTGGGTGTGCGTGAAGAAGAACGTGGGATGTTGTTTGAAGATAGACAGACCCCTTGTAGGTCGAGCGCCCACTTATCCCGCAATGGCTACATTCGCATCATCAACAGTCGCTTTCTTCAACTCTGGACTCGATCCAGTAGACATGCGGCAGTACATTGTATCCATCAAAAAAACGCAGGCCTGCCGAAAAGGTCGACGTGCGTCACGGAAGAGCATCCTGTGCTTCCGCGACGCTTGAGTTGGCTACACGTAATAAGGAGCGGTCCTTAGCAGCAAGATTACTTGTACCACTGCCCCGTTGCTTGCCACGCCTAGTCTACCCCGTACATAGTACCTGTCTGGGCCGCCAGCCATCAGATATGGAGGCCGATCATCGCGGTGCGGAGCATCGCATCCCGCCATGGAACCTTGGGGCTGAGGCGTCGCCGTGGGACTTGAATAGGATAGTTCTTCTCGTACTCGCAATGAGTCGAAGACTATATACCATCTTGGTTAGACGACGACACAAGCTAATAATGAAGCTCAGTAGTACCAAATGGAGGAGATAGAGACGAGCGCTTATCACAAGCTAGATCTGCAGCCAGTGCCCGCTGATCGGCTCGTCGAGAGGCATTCGTGCAGTAGATAATAACAGCCTTCACTTATACTGACAGATTACCTATAGCGAGTTGAAACGAGCATCCCCAGTACCACCACCCGGCAGCAGCACCGATAGAGACAGTGGCCAAGATTGAAGGCAATACCTACTAGTACCGCTGCCTGTTGTCTAGGCTTGTAAACTGATTGAACCGGCCCGTATCTTTTTGCCTCTTCCATCAACAAGCATTGAGTTCTCAAGTACGGAGTAGGTACTCCCGAAATACTCCCACTCCCCCGGTTCTGCAGCAGCTCGGTATAATCAAAGTTTACAACGAGGTGAGCCTGGCTCAACATGTCAGCACCTAGCAGATCGCGGGCCAGGCCCTGTGCTGCCGGTGAAGTACAAAGTATGTCTGGCATGGCGGTATACAAGTATAGGTAATGTGGCGGTAAGATTGTGAAGGACCAGGCGGAATGCAAGATGCTGCGTGCCTGGCCTAAGAGAGGCAGGACGACGAGCATCTTGTCCGACGTACAAGCACAGCGTAGCAGCATGAGCAGAAGGTGGCATTTGAGAGATTGTGCGAGGGTATTGGCCGACTTTGACAGATCAAAGTGGGCTTGGCTTCAGGGGACGGTAGGACAGCGGAAGGCTGTTAGTGGCTGGCGTGTGCAACAGTGGATTTCGAGCTTCCGGGGTCCTTGGAGAGATCCAGGGCTAGGCCATCGAACGCACACGTACACGGGATACGGAGCCAGGCCTATGCTTCATGGACAAGCTTCAAGCCTCAAGCTGCAAATCTCGTAGACAAAAATGGTATCAGATAGGCCCCATCCGCGGTGAGTTACACGTACAAGTAGCCGCCCCGGGTATAGCACATAATCGGCAGCGACCATCTTCATTACTCCTCCTGGTGATCAGTTGAAGATTTACTTGCGTTCGGATAGAGAACCCAGCAGTTCTTATTTTCCTTCCTCCTCCTCTTCTCTGGTTTTCCTCCCCCTGCCGCCAGCAAGCACTGCAGAAATCTGACCAAGGGGGCCTGCTCGCAGAAGCAGAGAACGGGCAATGGAAGAGTCAAAGACGCAGCAACGGCACAGATACAGCAGGTAGTGCTGATCTTGCAACCCGAGGACCCTGGTCCTCGAAAAAGCCGCGGAGAATAAGCGGCAGGTCCTCTATATTCCGTGCGTGATAGCACTCCTACAAGTATGTGATGAACGGTTGTACTCGTATTTAATTCGTAGTAGTCTGCCGCAATGGCAAAGTATCAGAAGAGTGTCTGTACTTTGTGGTACCGGCATACCTTTATTGCAAGGTGAGAAGTGAGAAATGGTCTCAATCTAAACAAAGCAGGGGGTAAAAAACAGCGCAGGGGCATGGAGTCGCTGCCAACATGTGAGTAGTTTTTACCTTGCAGCGCAATCGTAGTGTCTGTACGCGCACTTTGGACTCTGCCTCCGCTAGCGGTCTGATCTTCCATCTTTGCTCCAGGTCAAAGAGTATATCTCGTTGCCTGATGGATGCAGGTAGCTATAAAGAGTGATCCTGTCTTCGGCGTTCTCCGGCCAGATGGCATTTATGAGCAAAGGGTATAGAGTACCACTGGCTGCACAGTGCTTATGCGCGCATCTCCCCATTTGTAGTAAATAGGTATTCTCGTATGGTGTATTAATAAAAATACCTATTCAAACAAGCAAGACCACATGGGCCTCTTTGGCCCAGGGACAGGCCACGCCACGCGACGAAAGGCAGGGGAAAAGCGAGACAGCATCGGAACAATGGTACAGACACGATAGACGAGAGGGACCCTGAGATTCCGCCGCGCTTGCTGGAGCAGGGCGAGTAATTCCTCGCCTCGGTATTTCATAGGTACCAGCCAGGTATTGTCGGCACAGAGCGCTCGACGAGCTCTATTTATATCGGTCGCACGAACTACTGAGGAGGTACTTGTCGTACACGGCACGGCACGGCTCGGACACGCAGCTTCCCGAAGCCGTACTCAAAAAGCTTTATTCAGCCTTGAAACAGCACCTGCTCGATTCTGGCCCTGCGCTGCTGGACATGGGCCGAGATGCCCCGACAAGAAACCCTTTTCCGCTGCAAGATATTGCGAATTCTGGAAGGCCTCGGTGCTTTTTCTCCCTGGGCTGCTTCAATTGCCATACCTGCCAGCATCTAGTCAAGGGGGGGCCTTGTCCTCGATTACTAGCACGTAGTAAAGGTAGGTAACCTGTCATTTCCATACCAAGTATGTTCGCGTATCCAGAAAGCGCTTCTCCATCGTCGACTGTCTCTTGCGCCGCTAGAAGCAGCTCCCAGGAGTACTGCGCAAAGGGTCCACGGCCTGGTCTCGGTTCAAGGTCCCCCCTTTCTCTTAGCAGCTGTTCCTGGCCCGCTGCATCGTGGAAGACGGTGTTTGGATACCGAATTTGTCCCGCCGCTTTTTTTTCTTTCACCTTTCGCTTTTGCCGGGAACCACATCCAGATATTGAACCACATTTGTTTCTGCTTTCTAGCAGACTCGGTACCGTACAGCAATGCCGTGGGGCGTTCCATGCTCAAAACCCTTGGAATGTTCCTGAGCTGCTTTGTAGACAATTGGCTCCTTGAAATACAAATGATATGTCGTATTATACACACAGCCGACAGTTTTCCCAGCCTATCTCATTGCTTCTTTTTTCTTTTCTTTTCTTTTCTTCTCTTTTCTGCCTGTTTTTGCCTTAATCACGGAAATATGCATCTAATATGTTGGCATCGTTGCATCGCATGCTTCATCTCAACTTTCATACATATACGACTGCTGTGTAATGTCAAATTAGTCTTTGAAGCCAAGCCGCCCCGTTGGCGGCGATGATCTGCCGCCGCCGCCCCCGTGGCGCGGACTACCCGTCAGCCGTGGCCAAAATAGCCACATGCTTCAGATAGCTCATCTCTGACGCCCAGCCTATAGGATATGGGCCGTCCATTCCCATCATCCAACAATGGAACAGCTGCCTACCTACGTGTTCGTGCATTATCCATGGGGGTACGCACATATACAACGACTATGCGTGCCCGGTCGACGGCTGACATACTGACAGCTGTGTGTTGATCTGGTTGAACCGACCAGCTCAGCTGCTCCATACCTTTGTTCCGGCCTCGCCAGCGTCGATTTGGCTCATTTCTGTCGTGGTGACATGGATACCGGCTTAGCCATTGCGTGCGACATGGCCCATATTCGGCGGATCAAGGCACGATACTGTCCACAGTAAGGAGTACCTGCATTTCAGGTGCCAGCTAGACGCGCTTGGTCACTGCGGTTGCAAAATGGCTGGATTCTGCAGTCTTCCTTTTGCTTCTCTGATTCTCAATATGCCTTCTAGACGGTGTATGCGACGTCAAAATGCTATGCAAGGCATCCCAAAGCGAATATCGCATGGACAACGCAGGCATGTCAATAACAAGGATCTGGACAGCCCCCAAAAAGCATCTTCGTCCTCTTACTACATCTAGAGTAGTACGCTTTTCATGGAGAGGCCGGCGTCCTACCCACCATCTGAGACACAATTGTAAGATGTAAGATGCTGGAGGGGCCAAAGAACGGTATTTTTGCGTCCATGGTACTTGAAAGATAGTGTGCGTGACGGGGCAGCTGGTAGCATAATGGGATACACTATGGTAGACAAAGGCTGTTTCTTGGGCTTAACCAGCTGCCTATCCGCGAACAACTCGCAGCTTGCATTGAAATCGTGGATCTCAACACCAACTTCGTGCTGTCTGCGGCTGCGAATGCGATGCCTCGTCCACCCACCACTCCCACGCTCTCCTTCACACATTTTCTAGCTCATCACTTACTAATGCCATCCACTACCTGCACTTGCAAACTCGCATACGCATATGGCAACCAGTTAAGCTCAAGGTCTAAGCTTGCCCAAAGCCCTACTAGCACAGGCTCAATGATAACAAAGTCGCAGCGCAGGCAGAGTGCAGAGTGCAGAGCACAAATAAGAGCAGAGCAATGCAACGCAGCGGGACCCACGGAGGCTGGACGACCTCGCAACAAGAGGCTCCATACTTGTACGAGGGTTGATGCGCCGAACCCTGTCTGGCCTCGTCGCCTTGTCTTTATCCGATATTGCTGTTTAATCTCCAAATCGCTGTTTGCTTTGCTCGCCCTGGTCCTCGCCTCCCGCATTTACATAGGACTAGCCTTGCTGGCGCCATCGCCCCACGGCGATTTGACTGCTCGCAAACGCTCGCTTGGAGAAAGGACCCCTCCTCGGCCCCATTCCATCGACGGTTCTCGAGCCCGCTGGGCAACGGCACGGCGTCTGCGAGTGGCCAGCTGGGCGGATGCTGAAGGCGAAAAAAAAAGGCACCAATCTCCAGCCTTCAGAAGAGTCAGTCACAAAAGTCACAGCTGACCGGCGCCAAGGGAGGACTGACTCCAGCAAGTAGTGAGCCTCCAGTGGCCAAACAAAGAGCTCACGCCACCAATGGTGCATGTATTATGGCCTCGCTAAACACTAGGCGACCTCATACGAAGTAGCATTATAGAATATAGGCCGCCGTACTAGCAGTAGGCTGGATATCCTATCGCAGGCCGACTACTGCGAAGAACGCGCCGCCTGGATGCTCCTTTAGCGTGTCGTGCGGGCGACGATGAGAATGGAATGGTCTCATTCCCATCACAGCTCCTTGCACTTCGCACAGGCAGCGAAAATAACAAGTCGAGAGAGCCAGAGAGAGAAAAAAGGCCCGCCGGGGTCGGTGGTGGTTGTGGAGTTGCAAAGTTGTAAAGAAGTTACTCGTAGTATTTTTTCAACGAGCACTGGGCAGCTGTGCTACAAGTCGCCAGCTAGCCCCAAAACCAGGCGGTACAAGCAGCAACATGGCCGTGAATTGCAGGAATACAGCCACTCCCCGCCCCTCTTCCAGCGTCTCTCCTCCACTGCGTGCCGCCCCCTACCCCCACCCCTCCCCGAAGCCCCCCCGCTAAACACCACTACAGCGTCTACCAAAACACCCCTGGCCACCCACCTTTTGGCGCGGGCGATGCTACTGGCAAATGCCATGTAGGGGAAATGGGCTACGGGGGCTACCCAGGTGCTACCTAGAGCTAGCAGCGCTGGCCTCGTTTGCGCTGCGGTACTTGGCGCGTACTTGTACCTACCATTGGTACGTGGCTCTGAGCACAGAGAGGTTGCTAATTTCATCCTCCTCATCTTGTTAGCATGCATCTACTATCTGGCTTCACAGGCACCTTAGCCAGACCCTCTTGTCTCCATCGTCTCCATGCTCATGCATGGCATTGGCCTGGGTTATATCGGAAGCTTGCTTGATGGCGCCGGGCCGGCCATGGCCGGGTTAGCATCGCATCGTACTATCGTCTTTGCTATATAACTGTCGTCAAGACGTTCCCCATCGTTCAACGTGGCTGTCATGCTGCTCCCTTCTCTCTCACGACCTCTCCCACCTCCTCTCTCCTAATTAATATCTTCTCTCCAGGCTGCTTGGACTCCGCAATGCTCGAGTCTGACTCCTAGATCCCTCGTCCAGCCTCTCGTCCCGTTCGTTTGTCTTCGTGTTGTTTTTGCTGCTCTTTGTGCTCTCCTCTTGTCAGCCTTCTCCCGCCTCTCGTACTTGCCTTACAAAAGGGAAGTTGTACATATACGCCGTCTTTGATTCTTTCCTTGTTCTTTTGCAGCGTATTGGGGGTCTAGATCTCGCCAATTGGCTTCTTTTCTGTTATCGCCTTGTCTTGAAAGGCCCTATTTGGGTTAGAACACTCGCTCGCTTGTTCGTGGCTACAGAAATTCGCCTCACACGCGCGGTGGAGGCAGGCGGAAGAAGAATCCGGGGTCTCGGCTTCAATTGGAGCTTCTAACGAGCCCGCTGCAAGAGGATACTCTCTTCAATCATATTCCTCTCCATCCTCTGCACTGTCGAGAGCTACAGAGAAAGTCTCAGAGAATTTTTCTACTTGGTGTTGGATACTTCAGACAGGCTTCATCCTCTGCTCTTGACCAGCCAATCTCTCACCTCTACGACCTGCAATCGGGAAACGGACGCCTCATGAAAACATAAATATCCCTGGTCTACTTCGTGAAGAGCAATCTTATACCAGCAACCCTGGCTGCCCCACACCATGGACAAGTTTCTTAGTGAGCTGCCGGCCAAGATGATGCCCCTGGTCCCCTTCAGGTTACCTGTCGTCGAGCCTGATTTTTGGCAATCCGCAACATTCTGGACATACGTCTTTTGGGTTCTCTGGTAAGTTGCCTTGCCTCGTCTCTTGGATTGGGTCTGCTGCTCTTGATTATCGGACTGACATTTCATGCTAGGCTCCATCGATATGTCCGGCTGCTTGTTCACTGCGTCAGCCATTGGACCTACAAGTCGAAGCCGATCCCTAACAAGCCATCATTCACCAACGAAGACGTCACGGTCATTATCCCCACTATTCATAACGCGTTTGAGGAGCTTCGACCGTCGCTTCAGAGCATTCTGGCCTGTAAGCCTGCCGAGCTGATTCTGGTCACAACGCACGACAAGCGCAAGGCTCTTGACGAGCTAGCCAAGTCCCTCAATTACCCCCGGGTCCGTGTCATGAATACACCCATTGCCAATAAGCGACTTCAGGTCTGCGAGGCTCTGCCTACCGTGGAAACTCCCATCACTATCATGGCTGACGATGATGTGGCCTGGCCATCCACCTTGATGCCCTGGATTCTCGCCCCCTTTGAAGATCCCAAGATCGGCGGCGTCGGCACATGCCAGCGAGTGAAGCGCGAGTGGACGGCCCCGTGGTCTGTTCGCATCTGGAATTGGCTCGGAGCCGCATACATTGAGCGCCGCAACTTTGAGATCTCGGCTACTCACAACATGGACGGCGGCACCTCTTGCATGTCGGGACGCACTGGAGCGTACCGATCGGAAATCCTCAAGAGCCATGATTTCCTCGACGGCTTCAAGACTGAAAAGTGGAGAAAGTGGATCTTGAATGCTGACGACGATAACTTTGTCACGCGATGGTTGGTGAGCCACCAGTGGAAGACCTGGATCCAGTATGAGCGCGAATGCGAGATTGAAACCACTCTGGAGAATGGCCCCAAATTCCTGTATCAGTGCTCCCGCTGGGCGCGTAGCAATTGGCGAAGCAACTGGACCAGCCTGGTCAAGGAGCGGCACGTGTGGAGGTAAGTTGCACCTTAAAATCGGGGTTCATGACCTAGTCGAGGTGTCTAAAATAGCGCGAGCGTACTAACGAAAATGACTTGGAACTACAGACAACAGCCTTGGTGCACATACGCCCTCCACTTCGCGACCTTTACCTCTCTCGCCTTCGTCGTCGACCCGCTTCTGCTTGCCTCGTGCTGGTGGGCGACGGCTGAGTGGCATGTCCAGTACCGACACTACGCCTTCTGGGCCCAGTTCCTCTTCATGTTTGGCTTCACCAAGTTCGTCAAGCTCATGGGACTTTTGTTGCGAAACCCGAGCGATATCATCTTTGTTCCCGTCTCCATCGTCTTTGGATATTTCCATGGTCTGATCAAGCTCTATGCCCTTCTTACTCTCAACATGGTGAGTTTTTTTTTTTTTTTTAACCCCCCTCCCCATTACTCTCGTCGTCCCTTTAGCCAATTAGTCAGGAAATAGTGCTAATAAACTCGCTGCAGACGTCATGGGGCAGCCGAGCTGACGGCGATGCAAATGATGCGCAGCGGCTCGCGCCAGCGCCATCACCATCTAAGGTATTGACGACTCCTCGTGGTGCTAAGTCGCTCATCCGCTTTAACGTCCGTCAAAAGGGAGGACAGACGCAGACGCGGACCGAGCAAGATTCAGCATGGGAAAAGCGCGGATACGCTGCGTACGACTCGGGCACTTCATACTCGGAAAAGCATGAAGCCGCTGGCATACAGAATAGCCATGAACAGCCGCAGTCGATGCACTTCAGTAACGCTTCTGAATAATGAGTCATGATCAATAATCCCCCCCTTTTTTTCCCCTTCTTTTTTGGTGGGGGATCTCTACATACACAAAAAGAAGACAATCTCCTAGACTCTTGTCTAGTTGGGATTTGGTTTTACGCGAGCTACGAGAAATGACATTTTTTTTTCATGGGATCTTGGGTTTAGTACCATGTCATGAATTTTTAGGCATGATCGAAAAAGGTATGCCCTACTACTTTTTTTATTGGGCCGTTTAGGGCGGGGTGGAAACAACAAATTGCACTATGGTGGTATATTCCAGCAGAATAATGGGCTCTGCTGCACATGGACATATGGGACGGAATGGAATGGAATGGAATGGATGGAACGCTTGGACTTTTGGTTGATTTCTAGGGCAATGTATAGGCGTTGAATTGGGCAAACGAGTCCCTGCTCAACAGTGCATTCCCGGGACTGTTATGGCTTTGACAATAGGTGGCGTTCATATTTGACCCATCAGGCGTTGATTGCTTTGGACTGCCCTTTTTTCTTCTTATTATTATTATTCTACTTTTCAATGGAACGGAATGGGCCGAGGACAGGACGGGATTTACAAAATCTAAAAGATGAAAGTCACCCGGATTAGCACATCACTCAGAATGATATTAGCACGAGTTCGTCATTGGGAAATCTCTATGGATTACCTAGGTAATAGAATTGGTAATTTTTTTTTCCAAAACGTGGTAATGTCTCAAGAAAACACATTGACTCACCCAGCATGGCAATTGATTCAGTTCGGATTTCTGCCTAGACGGCTGGACGATAATTGGTCCGGTGATAAAAGGCGAAAGGCTGTGCCCGGGCAGACGGTGTACTACGATTGGTCGCCACCATCTGGAGTGAGACATCACAGCTCACACAGCTCTCCTTTTGGTAAATGTGCTGAGAATCTGATAAGTCGTGCTCGTGATTTGGCATCCAAATACAGGATACACGTCTTTTTTTCCTCACTCTGACTGCTTTTGTTTCCCCTCCAGAGCTGCAGGCCACGCAATATAGTATGAAGCAAGGTGAGTTGGATGAAGCACTTAATACGAGCAATTGAGCAATGAGAACGAGCCGCTGCAAGGGCAGCCTCACCAGGAAAAAAAAATATATGTGATGAAAGAGCAATCAATATGATGTGTAATATGAAAATTGAAAAGGGGGGGGGAGACAGCCTGCCACTTTCCACGCTTTGATTCGAAGATATGAAAAGTGAGAGAAACAAAATCAGGACACTTCGCGTCCAAACTACGATGTGCACTTTGCAGCGCAGACGGGCAAATGTCAAATGAGACGCTACTACGTATGCGAATGTGGCTTGCGGTGCTGAGTTGCACGACATATGCGACAGGGTAAAAAAGATGATGAGCCAATGGGTGGTGATGGTGATACAGGGCGGCAGATTTGATAGGGTGCTGGCCAAATAGGCAGTTATTATTATTAGCTACGAACATGGGGGAGGGAGAAAGATGGAGGGGGAGATGCAGCGCCATGTAAGGTAATGTAATTCTTGCATGATGCGGAGATCTCGATGGTATGCATGGGATACACGCTGGGGAGGGACACACGCACGTCAGGCAGTTGAGGATGAATCCGCTCTGGCAAGAAAGGGAGGGGGGGGGGAGAAGAGAGATGGGATGAGATGATGCAAGACGAAGAAGCCAATGGAATGGCGTGGCATAATGCGTCGAATCCTCTTGAGCTCGTGATAGTAGGAGTAGTCCCTTGTCTTATAGGCAATCTAGCTGGAATAGACACTGATGCAGGAATAGAGCCGGAGGGGAAGTGGTGTAAGTGATGGACTTCGCGAGGCTATAGCGTCGATAAGAGAGCTGCTAGTTGACGTCCGTTTGGCACCAAAAGCAGAAAGGCTCGACGGCGGGTGGGACTCAATTGATGTGCCTGCTGGGCTAAAATGGCAGTTTCTGATCGACGCCCCTCCCTCCTCAAAGAAGACGAGATAATAGCCGGGGTGGTTTGAGGGCTTTCGCTGATTGAGCCTTTTCCGATCACGATCACGATACCGAGCCATGTTTTTTCGGCGAAAGACGGGGCCGCCTTCGAGGAGAGGGAGGGAGGGGGTCGGTTGAGCAATCAATCGGGCGTTGCGAAGCCTCCAGGCGGCTTGCGCGAGCGGCGCGTCTGCGGCGGCGCTTTGCCCGTTTGCCTGCGTGAGGTTGAAATGGACAACTGGGAAGCAGAAATGAGATCAAGTTGGATTGAGGAGGGGCGTGCGCGAAAAGGGCTGAGGCGGGAAGGTGGGGTGCGGAACGAGGCGTGCTGATCAGTTGCGCAAGTACCACAAGTAGCTGCAAGTCACTGCGCGGCGCTGTGGGCGTGTTCATTGCACTTGCCCTTCTCCTCCTCGCCGCAGCCACCACATGCCCCAAAGGCCTTTCGTCGCTGCGAGTTAGCCCAGGCAGCTGGCACGGATGAATTGCAGCGAATTGCAATGGCCCGTACCTTGCATTGCATGGTTCTGGACCGCCGCCTGGGCGCGCAATTCCCCGATGCTCGCCCGCCATTGGCCTTGTCGACGGGATTTCTGATGTGTGTAATAGGGGAGAGGGGGCAGCGACAACCTCGAGCATGTATGTACGTATGCGCTGGACGTGGAGCCTGCCTATCAAGCCGTGCCCTCCCATGCCCTGCCATGCGGCGCGATGCGATGCGATGCGATGCGATGCGATGCGACCATCGCCCTCTTTTTTATTTCTCGCGGCCAGCGACGCCATGCCGCTTTCTGTTGGACGTGCATCGTGCAGACGCAGGTCCAAACTAACGTGGTGGAGAAGAGCAAAGCAGAAGCGTGGCCTGTTTTGCGTGTGGCCCCATCGAGCTGGATTCAACACGGCCCAATGAGCGATGGTGATGGCTTCTCGTCAGAAAATGCTGTCACAACATGTACTGTATCACACTGACACTGGCACTGGCACAGGTGCCTGGATATCGCTATACGAGATGTCAAAGGATGCGAGCGATGCACCGACGGAGGCACATACATGATCGTTACTGCAATCATCCTTCCACCGTTCAGGTCGCCTCAGATGGCTGCTCTTTACCAAAAACGAAAGACTGCCGTTTAGGGCCTGTGTCTCTGATTACAAGTCTGGGCGATGGTGTCAGGGTATTCCATTTTCTCTCTAGGCGATTCATCACATCATGCACACAATAAGTGCAGGTCAAGTGTCACCTGCCAGCCTTGTCCGACTCCCGGGTGAAGCAGAGCAGCCAAACAAGCCCAAAGAGGAATCAATACAACAAGCACCCCTCCCTCTTGGCGGCGATGTGGCGGCTAGCCACATGAACCTTTGGTCACTGGATTCGAAGGGATTCGAGCTTTTTGGGCTGATGGCTTCCTCTCTGCTGCCGTGAGAGTCGACTCAAAGACAACTTGGTGTGAGGCTGTTCGAACGGAAGGGGGGGGAGGCAAGGAGGCTGTGTGATCTGGCGTCAAGGTCCATGTTGATCCGTCTGCCGACTAAGGGTTCCCGAATGGGGCTGATCTGAGGCCCTATGTCGAGCTATTTCGTGCCGAATGCAAGACCCATTGATGTGCCCGCTGGGGCCGAGCTTGCGCGCGTCGCTGATGATCATGATATGACGAGTACCGGCCGATACTGCCACGCATAGGAAGGAACCCCTACCTCTACCTACCGCTAGCACCTGTAGTTATATGACCACAGGGACTAATGGCTAATCAAGCGAACGTGTAGGGCAGAAGATGGAGACGAACGGTGAGATACGGCGAGCAAGCGCCTCCAGCGGCTCCGCAACCCCATACTGGCTTGTGCGCCGCTGCTGGCGGCCGCTGGGGCTACGCCGTCGTTGCTTGGAGCTGAAGCGCCTTGTGGTGAGGGGATTCTGGTCCTAGGATGTCTTACATTAGCGACGAACGCCTTGACTATCAGGGGTCATCCATGGAGGACGTGGTGCCAAGTAGTGATACTACTTACTCGGTTGAGGATAGAGATTTCCTTGGTTTTCCTTCGCTTTGTCAGTTCCAATTGAGGCTGAGACGAGCGTCATCTGCGACTTCGACGTCCGATGAGGCTGGAAGGTCAGCTAGATAGTAGCTGCTGCTCTCAGATATTCGCAAGGCAAACAGGCACGGGATATTGCGTTCGCTAGAGAAAGCTTGGCCGTCTGCAAATAGGGCGAGAGAAGGCGGCGTCTCGGAGCAATTGGGTTGCTTTAGGGGGATTGAGCCCGAGGCTCATCACGGCGCTCAGTAGCATTCAGCTTGGCTGAGATGCCAAGTCTCTTGACGTCCTCTGTCTTGATGTCGTATTATGTGGTGCCAACTGCATGTGCGAGTGATGTTTTTGTAGAGCCTGCCATCGCTGCTACAAGTACGTTCGGTGTTGAGTCTGGGATACTACTAGGACCGGATGGCAAGGGTGCTCAAAGATTGGTCGCATGCAGGGCCCAGCCCTTTAGGTAATCCACTGCAATGTCCGGAGACACATGAGTGGTCCGAAACCTATCGCGATGGAGTTCGGCCGTGCATCACGGCAGCCGCCGCCGTTGCCTCAACGGCCGCCACGATAAGACAAAACGAGTCAACTACCAAACGACATATTGAGCCCGCTTGAGAATTGGATTCCTGACACTGTTGTCTCTTCGTTTTTTGAGCTGCCTCTGCGGACGCAGCGAGCGACTTGTGGCTGTAATCGGCAGGCAATAAGAGCCAGCGACAAACCAGCAAGAACCGCATGGAGACAAGGCCCCGTCCAATGCGGAGAAGAGGCGTGTGGCTGACCTTAGCGGCGCTCTTTCACCCATTTCGAGCACGGACTTGCTTGCTCGTAGAGGCATGGCTTCTCCATCGTTGTCGAACGTTTTTCGATAGTACTGGCGTACACGAAGAGGCGATGGCCCCACGTCGAAATCCTTTCGGAGTCACAAATTAAGGGTCCAAAGGGCATGTCTAACGAGGTGGCGTCTATGAAAAGTGCTTGTGTATACACTTGGGCGCTTGCTATTTTGGTCACACACTCACACCCATCATTTACATAAACATGGCCGGAAAGAAGGAAAGAAGGCCATGGAAAATTTTGATGATTTGCCATGTGGTGCTGCTATGGCAAAATAATGCAAAATGGTCGCCAAACGGCAATACTAACACTTATTGAGATACATAAGCGGCCGGTCTTAGCATGAGAAGCATTGTCACCCTGCTGATCAGTCCCAGCTTGCCAAGTTCCCCCCCCCCCCCCCCCTTGATGATTGAATGCATGCATGCACATATACGAGCGTACATTGCTGTCCCTGTTTATCATTATTTTCATACTCCCTCTCCATCTGCAGGGCATGATGTGATGGTCAGATTTGGAGCGTGTACGGCTGGTTCCTAGCGGAACAACGCAGCAGTCTGTGGAGATGTCTTGGAGCCTGCTAGCCCAATTCTCTTTCTTCTGCTTGCACCCCACGAAGGGCCGAGATTAACGACTCAAGCTCTTCTGCCTGTCGCTTCATCGCTTGGAGACCATAGTGGGGAGAGGCGAAGAAGCCATTGATGAATGGGCGTGGACTACGTGTACACATGTGCTGTCTCTCATACATACGCATGCTGAGGGCGCAAAAGTATCTCCGTGGTGGCTAGCTGGATGCATGTTGCATACGATGCAATCTGTAGCCGACAGGTCAAAATCTGCAAACCAAAGGCTTGCTAGAGCTTAGCCGCCCCGGTTCCATCTAAAGCAAAATTTTCAACGCGTGCCATCAAGGCGCCCTGAGAGCGCAATTCCTTCGCCTGTGCCACTCACACGCCTAGCAAATGCCCGCCTTACATGTACCCTGCATGACAGCCAACCACAGGCTGCCCTTGGCTGCTATTTGCGGCGTTACTACGATGTATTGTTTGCTCTTCTCTTACACGTCAAAATAGACAGGGCACTGGCTTGAAGTTTAAAATTCCAGCCACCGTACAGTTCAAAACTGTCAAAACAGAAGCTTTCGGACGGTGGAAGAAACGGTCTCCGACGAGCCGGTCCGTCCGGAAGGCTAATAAAGCCTGTTTGGACGGGCAATGACTCGTAGAGACGAGTTTTTGCTGAGCGGATTTCTTGCTCTGTCGGAAAGGCTGGAGAGCACCAGAAAAAAAAGAGAGACCTTTGTCCGCCATAACCAACAATGAACGACGTTGACATCTGAAATCGCATCATGGCAGGACCGTATACGCACGTTGCAGCATCGACGGCCATCAGCGCCCCAGCGGCACACTCCCCGATATAGGGGGTCCCTCCGAGCGACTCCAGAAAGCGACATCGCCCCTCTCCGATTGTTTTTCGCGGTCCTCTTTCTTGCGGTAGCCTCCCCCGGATGTGTTGCACGCAAAGCTAGATAGAATGAGTATGATCCATTCTGCATCCACTCGAACGGAGAGGGAGGTCCATTATGTTGCTGTGGCGGTTTATCTCCGTAAGTCGGGCCACTGCGGGACGGATGACTGCAGTCTTGATGCTAACAAACGCGGGGGAATGAAGAAGCAGGGCGGACAAACAGCACCGTTTGTGCCGACTGACTGACTGACTGACAGACTGACTCTTCTTCTGCCCAACTTGCTTACATATTAGGCCTACCACTAATATTACTAGTATTTACCACCTGCTTGACTCTACTAAGCTGAGCTGACGGACGAACGGACGGATGGACGGACGAACTTTGAAGCTTCGTCTGATACGGAGCAGGCATGTGCATGATACAAAACAAAAGATTCACAGGTACCAAGCCCAGAACCTGCAGATGGCAGAAAAGGCGCGGCAATGATCGCTGTCCCGCGTACATGTACGCCAGATAGAGTGCCCTTGTAAGCTTTGACTTGGCATCAAATTGGCGCCGCATGGCTCGTGGCCCCCTCTTTCAACTGCCAGACTGTTTTTGCTTCGGCCGCATCCCACACCATCTTCTTCCCCCTCCCTGTAGCCGTCCTTTTCTTTTATCAAGATGTTACATACGTCAATCATACTTTTATATCTCTCTTCGGTGATTTCGACTCAACCTTGCATATTTTTACACAAAGGAAATTAGCCGACATCTATTCTCTCAACTGGCGGGCCAGTTATATCTCTTTGGTGACAGCTTCTTGCTTGTGGTTGTGTGCATCTATCTCTGGATCCTAATTCTGTCAGATATAACATATTTTTATATGTGTGTGTGATGTATTTGCTCTTTCCTCATCAATGCCAGGGCCTCAGCCTGCAGAAGGGTAGGTGGTGGCAGAGCAAGCAAGCGAGCGATTGAGGCAACACACATCGCATTAGCTGAGCGGGAATTGGAGATGAAGAAATCCCCACTCCACTCCTCTCTACATCGTCCTCCCCCGGCTAGCTAGTCAGTGGAAGCCCAAGACGAGAGAATACGGGGACGGGGCTTATCGTCTTTCAGGTGAGGCGTCGTTCGCTTGCCTTGCTGGCACACTCGAGCGGAAATGATGGATCGTGGCATCATGATGGATGAGGGAAGGTGGATGAGCCGAGAGGGAGGGGAAGCTGCAGTGCTACTACCATACAAGTATAGCAGTCTGCTGCTATGGCTCAAAAGAGGGAGTGTGCAGCGGAGAGAGAGGTGGACGAACAATTTTGTGCATATTTTCGACCGAGCTAACCTCTAGCTGTGGGGGCCATGATACCAAGATGAGGGAGGGGGAGGGGGAGAATTGGAGATGGTAGCAGATGGGACGAGATGCAGATGGAGGGGGCGTGAGGGACGAAACGACAGGCGAAAGGAAAAACCTTGCAGTCGTGATGCCGAAATGTTGGAATTTGGCATCAAGCGTGCATGATATACGCACGTATGGAGCAGACGTTGAGACATGCGCCGATGCAATGTGCCAGTCCTGGATTGCAATAGAAAACGTACGTGTCATGGTTCTTGATTCTTGGAGGGATTTTTGCGAAATTAGACGGTTGCAATGCTACTGTTATGGTACGATGTTGGTTCTATCTTCATCCCCCTTGCGGTTTGATAAGTTGGATACCACTTCGTACGATGTACGTGAACCTTGGGGGCTGCTTCCTCTGCCGCTCTGCCTATGCGAACCAACAGAACACATGTCAAACGACTTAGTTTTTGCACTAAAGTTTTTTTTTTTCTTGGCTCGATAGCCTCAGTTCTGTTGGGCATACCGAGGCAAAGAACGCTGGTCACAGAAAAAAAAAAAAGTTCCTCTCGGGTCAGTCGATGGCTGTGTTCTCCTGCTTGGATTGAGCTAGGCAAGCGTCGTATCGACAGCGGATGACCTACAGCAGTCTCTGATGGGTATTTGCAACGGCCGGCTCTCGTCGGTGGCGCTGTATGTATTTGGTATTGGTTCTGCTATCTAGATGTGCCTAGGCTAAACGCCCGCCAAAGCCTCTGATTCTGCGTCACCCATCCAAGGGTACTGGTGTACGTAATTGGCAAATTGACGACGGGAGATTCGGTTATCGATGGGTGCGATCTGTCAATTTTGAGAAAAACAGCCCAGTACATGTGTTACAGTATGTACTCCCACATTCCGCATCCCGAAGAGAGACGTTTATGGGAGGGAGGGGGACGCTACTATTCGACGGCCGCAAGACTTAGCCCCAGTGGTTATGTAAGAGCTAAGGAGAGGCTGGGCAAATCAATTTTGCCACTTTTTTTTTGTGCCTTGGGTTCCCTTTTCTGCGACGTTCAGCTGAGAAATGATGGGTGGTCTCGTATCGTTAGTTAGCGGGCTGAGTGAGGAAGCCCAGCCCTATGGGTGTATTTGAATAGAGTATTCTGTAGGGATGCTTGCTGAGCTGAGCTGAAGGAGAAGAAGGGCGTGAAGGAGGATTGGAGCGCTAAGAATTTAGTGGTGGGTGGTGGTGATGATGGCGTTCTTTTTTTTTCTACTTTGCTCTTACTCATAGAGTTGATATGTCAAGGTGAGAGTACGTAAATAGTTACATTTTACGAGAGTCCTAGGCGGAGGATTTCGTGTTGAGACGGGAGTTGGAGGTGAGATTGTAGGAGGAGGAATGAGTCACTAACTTGCGCTTGATTTATAATATTGTGAATATTCAGAACGCAGGTGGTTTGACATTACGTGATGTGCTCTGTATTGAGCAAGTATCTGTAACATGAATATGCCTACCTACTTGAAGTAATAGGGGATGTTTTGGCCTTGATGGTTGTTGCTGCGTTGCGACCTGTCTTGCTACATATGTCATTTTTGAACTCGTCTTCTATTTTCTAATGTGGGTAGTAGGTTAGAATGAATGATTCATATGTGTATTCAAGTGTCACTCTATAAATTTCTTGACAAGAGGATCTTGTGTGAAATGTATGTTGTTAGAGAGGCTTGGGATGAAGCAAATAGCCATTGAAGGGGGTTGAAATGGAATTAGATTTGGGAGTATTGAGCTTGAGCTGCATACAAACTTTTCTTTCAGCCTGGTTCAAATTATATAGTTACACTACATGGGTTTGTAATCAGCTTCTTGTATGTGGTATGGGAAAACATTTGAGCTCATATATGATGCTACTACTCCCCGTCTCTCATTTTCTCATGCGCCTGATTAAAGATGCAGCAGAGTGATCCGGAGGGTACTATTCCATGAATTGGTCCTATCTAAAGAGTTAAATAATGACGTGCAAGAATGTAATTGCCGAGTTTGGTACTAGCGATGTGCCTTTTTTATAAATTTTCGTTCCAGCTTGTCTAATATCTGTCCCTTTCCCTTGGTAAACTCGTATGGCCAACTAATCCTAAGCGTTTACTTGAAGAACGAACACAATAGAGACAATTCTATATGTATTGAACATGCGTATAATAAACTTCAATTACTATAGCTTGACCAAATACTTGGCTTGTAGTCCGTTGTCAGATGCGCTCTAAATGCAATCAGAACATCTTTTACAGAGGCAAGTGAGAGAAATGGGATGGCGAATTCAGCTTGAGTAAATGTGAGAGTGAATAACGTAACAATGTCGCGTTCTAAAAATATTCAGCGAGAAATATGATGCAATTTTTTTTCTGGAGTAGGCTGATAGGAAAGAAGAGAGTGTACATAGGTTGTGTTGAGAATAGCCTCGATGCTTGGGAACATAACAATGACGGGTTGGGATACTCCCGCTATGATAGATAAACTCATACGATAGATAAAACGAGAATTATCTCGTAGGCTGTATATCAGGTAATACCCATCTGTGCATCATACGTACCTCTCTTATTCACATCTCATCTTCTACAGAGCCAGCAGTTTGTGATTTTGATAATCAACACCCGCAATAAGATTCCCATTAATCAGTGCATGAAACTTGACCTCATTTCAATTAACATCGTATCGAGATGAAATGGTAGATGTTCCAGCGTAACCATGACACAAGGGGACGTTTTGTGAAGTTCTCCTGTGCAAGGGGTGATATATAATATATCCTTTAGAGGGATGGCAATCAAATTGTCTAATGGGAAATATTTCATTGAAACATAAATTTCCTATTCTGATTTCTATCTACCGCTTTGGCTGAATCACTGTGTAGTTACCAGCCAGCCTCCTCCAGACTCAGTCCTCTGTTGTGGTAGCTTTCACATCCTACCCAGCATGCCGTCTTGGTAACACAAAAATGCTTCCAAGATGTAGGCTCAGATGTTAATATTGGAATTTTTATCGATTTTACTGCTTGTTTCCCATCTCTTTCATGGCCGGCTTACTCCGTCATATTACTCTCTCATATTTGTGGTTTGTTGAGGGCGCAGGTTGAGAGGAACTCGGAGCATTAAATTGCTAAAAGTGGATTGATCCTAGCTACTACACTTGTGATCTACTAATAATATGAGTAATAATATAATATAGAGACGCGTGATTGAAAAGAATTTTTATACTTTTTCATGTCTGCTTGTGACCTACTAATTCTTTGGAGCACGTGTGTACATGTATGTAATCAACTATCATAAATGCCGATGCTTTCAATTGCCCGGATGGAGAACGCTGTAATAACGACGGCTAACATGGGTGAGGGTGTATAAATGAGATAATTAATTATTGCTATTCGCCCCTTTGAAAGAATGATGAGTGGCTGAACATTAGTCTGATGAAAAGCAAAGAGGCATATAGCCAGCTAGGTATGTATCTGCATTCTAATACTGCCAAGTATATGGGAGAAGTTGAATAATTAAAGGTGTAATGCCATATGACCTGGTGCTTGCCAAAGAAAAAGAGAGAGAGAAAAAAAAAATGATGAGAAGCAGCCAGAAAAGTCGATCAGTTCTTTCATTCATGCGTACAATAAGATACAATAAAAACAAAAATGCCTTATCTTTTGGCTAGGCATTTCTGAACTCTGTACCAAGTAGCTTTTCATTGTGAATCATCCAAATTCATCCAAATTCATCGCGTCATATCATGTCGTTCATCATAATCATCCTTCAAATTTTGCCGCCAAGATACAAAATATTCTCTCTAACATTATCTTTGAGGAGCTCTCTCTCTCCAGTGTAGACGTAAGCTACGGTCGAGGGCCACGCGCTTGGATGAGGCATTGCGAGTTCTATTGTATCTCCTCGTCTGACTCGATTCGACATCATAATGGCAGCTAACGCCGGCAACTGTGCTCGCGCATATTGGACACCTGGATTTGCTTGTTAGTTTTGGCGATATTAATGAAGCTGCTATTGAAAGGAGGAAACTTACTCATGGGTACAGAAGTAGCTTTTTTGGGTGTGAATTTCGGGGGCTTGAGAAATGGAGGCATGTCCGGTTTTTCAGTCTTTACAACAACATCGCTATCACCATCATCGGCCATCTCTGAATCCACCGGAGATTGCGGGCCCATGTCTTCTTCAGACAGCTCCAGCCTGGATAGCAGTACCTCGCGATTGAAGTTGCTCGACTGAGGAGAAGGTATAGGGTCTGGTATCGTAGCTCTCAAGTCGTCCAGGTCGAATTCGCGCTTCAGGCCAATGGGGACGTGTAATTTTGAGCGAATGATGGCACGAACCAAGACGCGCTTAGACAATGGCGACGCGGAAGACGGCCCTTCTGACCACGATCTGATTTCTCTACGTGGCCGTCGGAGCTGCAGTGGCTTGACCAGGAAATCTGCTTCTTCTGAGCGACCAAATATCCTGTGACCTTGTTCCCAGAGTGAGTGGCGATATTGTTGAATCTGCTGAAGTTGCATATGTAGGTGTCGGTGGGCAGCTCCATACGCAGGCATGGACCGCCTGCGGTTTGCCGGTAGATTTACATATGACATGCGAATGGCCCCGGCCGTGCTTTGTCGAAACATATCGCCATGCCCCATGGACATTTGCCGAGGTCTTATAGCATGCGCCTCAACAACAGCAGGCCAACCCTTTGTGCGCGGCGAGACGTCAGACACCGGGGTTGGGCATACCTGCCTCGAAATCCAAACTGTCCCAAACGGAGTCATCACTTCAGAAGCGTCAGACATCGCCTCCGGGACGCTGAGATTCCGTCTCATGGGGCTGGCACTGGAGTGTATCATATCCCGTGCGCAGCCGAGCGAGTTGAGCCTTGAGCGGGTCATCCCGCTATAAGGAATCGAAAGCCGGTTTGAGAACCTATGGCATCCATCTGGGAAGCTTGCAGTGTCGGTCTTGATAGGTGCGACGACGGGGCGAGGGGCTCGGCGGCTCCGTGAAGACGACATGGCGAAAGCTTGATATGTCTTGTCTCTGCGTTGAAACGCACGCGAGTAAAAGATGTACAGTGGTCGGATACAACTGAGAGCAGGGTTTGCCTCTGACGAACTTTAATATAGGAATTGCTTCAGAGTTATATCATGCATACTGGTTCAAAATTAAGGTTAGTATCAAGGATGTACATGCATGTTCAACGTTTGTTGCGACATCACGACCCTTTGACGCTGCCACAACGCCACAGGTGTTTGATTGCGCTGCGTTCACTCCTTCACCATTGCCATTAAATTTCTCCCCTCTCTGATAGCTGCCCAGGAATTTCTTTTCTTTTTTCCTTTTCTTTTTTTAGGGGGCGTGTATCACAAAGGCCAACCCGTGGTTGGTGATGGCGATGCGGCGGCTTGTGACAAAGGCGCGCGCATTGTCAGTGGTCTAAGTTTGCTCCCGGCAACAAGTAGCACAAAGAAAGAGATTTCTGCAGGAGAGACAAGTGCCAACTTGATTGCGCAGCATGAAAGCACTTTCAAACCGACCTCTCCCTTTTTTTCTCTCTCTCTTTTCTCTTCTTTTCTTGGGGTTGAAGGAAGGGCGTTCACGCCACCGCCTGAACGTGCTGAGGACGCAATGCTTGATCCTTGGTCCCGCGCACGTGATGACCCTACTGAGCGAGAATTGTCCACGAAGCGCAAAATGATTGGCTTATACGACCGAGGCCTTTCAAGCATCAGGCTGACAACGCAGCAAAGCATCAAAGGAAGAGTGTCAACGCTTGGACGCTGTTGGAAAACACCCTCAGCATACGATTATCTTTTTTTTTTTTTTTCATTCTATTTTTCTTTAAGCGGCATTGTCATTCAGCTATCATGCGATAGGCTGCTGAATTTCTCCCCCTGAACAACTCACTCGTAATATCAATATGGCGAGCTACAAGCAGCGCAAAGAGGACTTCGTGTCCAATTTGACAGGAGGCTCAGTCTCTGAAATCAGCTTTGTCACAGCTGTAGCGCCCGTGAGTCTAGCTTTTATCCCGTGGTGTCATGTCTCTAGCCAGATGCTAATCCGCGAGCATAGGCGGCCATGCTGTTGTGGTCTGTTCTTCAGGCACGGCAATCCTTCTTCAAGCCCTACTCAGCCCTCGGCCTTGTCGTCGACTTCTCACTCACTGTCGGCACTTTCTTGTTGGCTACTACGCTTTATTCGGGCTCGCCCATGTTGCTGAATCTGCTCCTGCTTGCGCCGGCTCTTTTGATATGGTTTCTACCCTCTACGACTGGAGGGCCAAAGAGAAAGCCGAAGCTTCCTCCCAATGCCCAGTCAAAGACCACCTCAGAACCCCGTCCCGTCTTGAGTATCAAGCCTTTTCTCACGACATATCGCGGGTACATGATGATCACTACTTGCGTTGCCATCCTAGCGGTGGATTTCCGCCTCTTTCCGCGGCGCTTCGCCAAAGTCGAGACTTGGGGCACGTCCCTGATGGACATGGGCGTTGGCTCTTTTGTCTTCTCCGCCGGTATCGTGGCGGCTCGTCCGGTCCTCAAAGAAAGGGCCACGGGCCGTCGAACTTCACTTGCTGTCCGTTTGCTGCAGTCATTCCGCCATTCCATCCCTCTGCTGGTCCTGGGTTTCATTCGCCTTTTGAGCGTCAAAGGACTCGAATATGCTGAACACGTGTCAGAGTATGGAGTTCATTGGAATTTTTTCTTCACTTTGGGCCTCCTTCCTCCTTTTGTGGCAATCTTCCAGACCCTTTTCGATGTCATTCCGTCGCATGCAGCATTGGCTCTGCTCGTCGTGGGCACATACCAGGTTGTCCTTGAAAGTACGGATCTCAAAGCATTCATTCTCACCGCCCCCAGGGTAGATCTCCTCTCTATGAACCGAGAGGGTATCTTTAGCTTCATAGGCTATCTTGCCATCTTCCTGGCTGGACAGGACCTAGGCAAATTTGTCATTCCTCGGAGCATCACATCAAGCAGTAATTCAACAGCGGGTATGCAAAGAAATACTCTGCTCATGACGATGGCTGTTTGGGCCGGAATCTGGACCGTGCTATACACTGTTACCACTAGCTACGACTTTGGGTTTGGCTTGACGGTCTCGCGCCGGTTAGCCAACCTACCCTATGTGCTCTGGGTTGCAGCCTTCAACTCGTGGCAGATTCTAGCTTTCTGCGTCATCGACACCATCTTCTTTCCTGCGTTTTACAACGCAGGGGATGCTCGCTCCGAGAAAGAGGCCTACGAAGTGGCCACGAGTTATGTTTTGAAAGCGTATAATCGCAACGGCCTGGCAGTGTTCCTCATTGCGAATCTGCTGACTGGCCTTGTCAATATGACCATTCCTACCCTGGACGCCACGCCAGTCCAGGCCATGGGGATTCTCATGGCCTACACAGCGACTGTTACAGGTGTTGCGGTTCTGCTTGATATATACGATATATCGATTAAGTTGTAGACAAGTATTGAAAGAAGAGTCTATCAAGAAAGGGCTCCATTATGCGCTCCACAATGGCTGCAGTAGCCAAGCGATTCACACATCAGTGTCTGCTGTCAGCCGACTTTATCCAAAGGAGTCGAAAACATCAACTTTGAGTTGTCAACTCTAATACTTAGTGTCTACCCTAGGTGCATGCAGCACCAGAACAGGAATCTGAGACACAGCGAGGGAAGCTTCTCGTCTACATTGGGCAATAGGCTAAGATGATGTTGATGTGCTCCGATTGGGTGAGAGCGCCTAAAGGAAGCCGAAGGTTTTCATGCAAGACACCACCTCTCGGATGCTGAGGTTGTCGACTTGGCGCGCTAAGTATGTTTGGACGGGTATCTAGTATCTAATCAGGCGATCTTATTCGTGTGCACAGATGCTAATCGACGATTTAATATCATGGGTTGGCCATTATCCTGGCTGCAGAATTAGTAGAAAGTATAAATGCATAGCGATTGACTACCCCTTGATCCTTCCTGCAGTGTGACATGTGGGTGACTTGGGCGACTGAGAGCTACCAGGTATAAGACGAAGCTATTTTAACTCGTCCAAGCCAAGTCGCTCATTTCCGGCATCAATGCGATCAGCAAGTGCTTCTCTTAGCCACAAACAATGCGGTGGATCTGCGAAATGATGCTAGAATGGGCTTTCAAACATGTCCTACTCCATAGCAAAGACGATATGTTTTTTTCCCCAGTAGCAGCACGTACCAATAATAGTAGTGCAAGTATTACCTACCTAGTAGTGCTTCGTACCTTGCTCGATGCAGGATGCGAGGGAGAGAGAGCGCACGGAGAATTTGTTTCATCGACATTAATGGGATCGAAACAATGTTTACGATATGCAGATGGGGAAATTGGGGATGTGCCACACGGGTTTCACTTTTGGTGAGCCTGTCTCGGGTTCATTCACAAAAGGGCTTAAAAGCGGGGGCATTATCTCGTATGTTGTGACCCGACCCGTCTGCAAGTGAGAGAACAAGAAGAGCCAGGGGAGAGGAAAAGAAGAAGAAGAAGAAAAGTCTAGCGAAAATAGAATACGTAGCTTGGCAGTAATATGGCCCTCATTGTTTGCGTGCTAAACAAAACTAAAACCCATTGAGCAGGTCCTCTTTGTGATGTGGTGTGTTGCGCTGGGAAAGGGCTGGGTGGATAATGAAAGGAGGTTTCACTGCTGGGCAGGTTTGGATAAACAAAACGAAAAAGGGTGCAAAATAACCTTTTTTTGTCTGACAATCCAGGCACAGATCATGTGCACTAGAGTATCACAGCATACAAGCAGGTACGTAAACGACGGCGACATGCCTAATTGGATGTTATGCGCTCTGGTGCGAGTCATACGAGGATGCTGGGATTAGATTAGGGTTACTGACTGAGATGTTTGTAGCTTCTGACCTTTGGTACATGGCATCAAATACATGCATCTTCAGCAGAGAGGCAGCAACAGGAGACGGATACCCGTGGGTTTACTAGCAGTGGGTGAATTACTCGCAGACAGACCTATCTAGTCTATTAGTTGCCACTACTCGCAGTAGTAGCTACCTATGGAGCGTGGAGAAGGGCTACCTAGGTATGGGGCAAACCGCCAAGTGAGGACTCGGTTTAAAATACTGCTTAGATGCTAGCATTGATGAGGTCACTTCGGTGGAAGCATCATCATATGATTTCCGTGTCCCATTGTTATTAGCCAGCACTCGCCAGTTCCAATACGGAGGTACGAAGCAGGTGGTAATATTGCTGCCAGGTAGTCTGGTATTACTTATTTCAGCAGGGCTGCCTGCGCTGTATGGCCCGAAAAGCGCGCAGCATCGCAATCTCACAGCCGGGATCGAGATTACTAGCTAGTGGTCTGGCTAGCCGCCCGCATTTCTGCACTCTCTTGGTGCTGGGGTAGCGGCGAAGGAAGCCCGCACGACGGCCGCGAGCGACGGCGGATGCACGATCGAAATTTGAAATTTGAAGCTCCAGCAGCTAAAGCTTCTTAGTGTCGCAATATCAACGGCGGTGGCACTTGTTATTTCGCCGCTGCAATTCCATTTTTTTTTTCTTGCGCTTGGTCTGTTATAATTGCATTATTACCGGTTTCCCAAGGGCTCCTTCCTCTCTCCCTCGACATTAACGATTGAATTGCAAATCTGCCCAAGCGAACGAGTTCCCTTTTTGTTTGTGTCTAATTATAATGCGCAGAAAAGTTTGTATGGATCCCACGGCTGCGCTACGGGCCTCTCCCTTGCGCCCAGGCCGAGTCCAAGCGGGCTTGTTTGCGGCGTCACCGAACAGGAGCTACAATGCCATCCAGCCTCGTCCATGGTGCATGTAGAATGGAGATGGATGGAGCACCGGGAGGGGACAGGCCAGCGGCAGTATTTTGGCGCATGTTGACTTCCATTCTCGTATGGGCGATGGGATTGGGCTCGGCCAATGTTTTGATGCTCAGTGACCGCCTTTTCCGTTGATTGCCTCAGGATCTATCCATTCACTGTCTTGATTGATGCTGCTCGCGCCTGTCATGGCCAAGCACAGGCGTCAGTGGATGACATTCAATGACATCAACATGCACAGCAAGTACTCTCAGCCAGTGTTTGCGGTTACAGGGTTCTGCCGCGGCGTGGGTGAGAGCTAATTTGGAGGGGTTTTTGCACCGTGACGCTCCCACGCCGTCCGTCAGTCATGCATGCTGCGCTGCTTGCAATATAAATAAATATCCGGCTCGTACAGGCACTGCGGCTTGCATGCAGGAACGACGCGGACCCCTGGATCTAGCGCGTTTCGGCTGCGACAACTGCGGCGGCAGATACCTCGAGATTCGCGGACAGGCGCGCGCGGGAGCAGGTACTCGCAGTGATGATGTCGACCGACCTCGATGGTAGCATTTGCAGCGTACAGCGCACGCATGCATGCCCCGTGCATGTGCTCAGGTACCAGGCCCAGGTTCGGGTCCAGGGCCAGGGCCACACGGAGCCACTACAGGCGGCATAGCGCTGGAAGCTCCGCTACGAGGGCTCCACTGAGGCTGCCGCGCTGCGCTTCTCATCTCATGCTGCAGCCATCAATTTCGTTTTCGCGAAGGCTGGCCCTTGAGCCCTTGGCCATGCTCGCGGGTTGACAGCTGCACTCGACGCTGACCTCCAATCTCGCCCGTGCTGGTTTGCCTCAACTGTAGTGTACTGGTATGTGCATGTGCATGTGCATGTGTATGTGTATGTGTATTATACGGATCGTATCGCTGCTGGTCTTACCTGTGGCACAAAGGATTACATACACGCAACTCTGCTCTGCGTGGGTTTTTTTTTTTAGATTCGCGTAGCCCAGATGCTCGCCATGTACCTGCCTCGCCCTTGCGCCTAGCAATCTGTACCTCGCGCAGCAGTGGCAAAGACGTCAAGTGCTCAGGTCAGCTCAGGTCAGCAACGCAGCTGCTGAGGCTTCCGCTAACGAGCACCAAAACCCGTGGAAAACCTTCCTCGCAGCCCTGCGGCGCCTCGTCTTCCCGTCTGCAACTGTCTGCATCTGCGTCTGCTTCAACCTCGTCGGCCTGCCGGGTCGCGCTGAGACGAACCAGCACTCGGCTGGCATATTGGAGGACGAAAGAGGCACCCAATCCGAGCTCATCCCGCCCTACTGCTGCCGCTACTCTGCACAACCCTGTCAGCTCCTCCCAGCGGCCGGTCTCTGGCAACCCCCTGGGGCCCTGCGCGCGTCCAGCCGGCCTGTCCATTCAGGGGACGCAGTTTTCTGCCATCTGCTGGACGACGACGCTTCGTCTGTGAAACAACCAAGGACAGAAAAAAAACAAGCCCGTGTTCACTGCAGTCGAACATGATATGCTAGTGCTGTGCTGAATTGGCTTGTTGGCGCTGTTCAAAGAAGGACCTGAATCTTGTCTTTGGTCGCCCTTGGCTTCGCCAGCACACACACACACACACACACACACACACACACACACACACACACACACACACATACACACCACACCTCGTTTGATTAGCAGCCCGTCTGACTGTTGTGACCCGTTTTCCTCTCTCATCCTCCTCTCTAATACACCACCAAGACACGCTGCTCGTGCTCTGCTGCTTCGGAGCCTTAACCATCCGCCGCGCGCTCCTGCAAGCAAGTCTACGTGCCGCTGCACCTGTTTTTCGACTGCCGAGTCGATATACCATCGAGTTCGATATCAGAGCCGGGCAATCACATTGGCCTCTCGCACAAGGCGCTTGGGGAAACTCGAAGCAGGCTATTTTCTTCTAGAGCTGCGCTCGCCGAGTCCGCCCAAGTCCGTCGATTGACCTTAGTGGGCCGGCAATCATCCCGTAGCAACGCGGAAGCATGTCGTCGGCTGCTCTCCAGACGGCCCCTCCTCACCAGCCAACCGCGTTGTCGTCTTCTCTGCCTTCGCCCTCCAACCGCCAGTTCACGCAGCCGCAATCTTCCCCCAATCGGGAAATCCACAATGCCCAGCAGAGCGCCTCAACACCACCATCGTCAAGGCGTCCTCCCTCTCACAAGCCCAGCGGCCCCGGCGCCTCTGTCCCATCAGACCCCAGCGCTCCTGTGAGCTCTCGCATTCCCACCAGCGCGACTCGTGCGGCCGACCAACACTCCAGGACTGACCGCCTGTCATCGGCGCCTACCGCCCCTCCACGAACCTCATCCAACAATCCGGACGCCAGCCAGGGCCGCAGCGAAAAGATGAACAATTCTCCGCGCCGTGTGCAGACCGACGGCTCACGGATCGCCCCTCGTGGTGACACAAATGGCAACGCCGACCATGCTCGGAGCAAGAGGGCTCAGGGCTACCACACGCCGCAGGATGCGGCCGCAGCCCAGGCGGTGCCCAGCGTTCGAAGTGGCCATGCCGCCGAAACTCCTTCTTCCATCCCCATCCCCATCCGTACTCATCAGACAGCAACAAACTCTAAGCCATCGCGCGAGGCGAGCGAAAACCTGTACCGGGTCATTTCCAACGGCGAAGAAGCGACCGGGCGAGGAGCCTACCAGAACCCATCCCACGACGTCGATCCCGCCGCGCCTCCTCCTATTGTGTCCATGAATGCGGGCTCCGAGGAACGACGCGGCGCTCGAAGCCGCCATGACCACAGTCGCAACAACAAGGCGACTACCAAGTTTGGCGATTTCATCCTAGGAAACACCATTGGTGAAGGAGAGTTTGGAAAGGTGAAGCTTGGCTGGAAGCAGGATAGCAGCGTGCAAGTGAGTCTTGATTCTATGTTTATTAACTCCCTTCCCCCCTCCCTAAAAGTACCAATGAGGCTGTGAGAATGAGAGTGAGAGTGAGAACGAGGGAGATGTTGGAGAGGGGGGGGCCAGGTATTATCCGAAACACTGGCAATGCTAACAGAAGCCATGTACAGGTTGCCATTAAACTCATCAAAAGAGATACCGTTGGCCACAACCCATCTCGGCTGGCCAAGATTAAGCGCGAAGTTACTATTCTCCGCGGCATTCACCACCCGAATATTGTGCGATTGATAGACATGGTTGAAACCGATAGATACATTGGCATTATTCTCGAGTATGCATCTGGAGGAGAGCTCTTTGACTACATTTTGAACCACCGTTATTTGAAAGACAACTCGGCGCGCCGACTCTTCTCTCAGCTGGTCTCTGGAGTGGGCTACCTCCACAAGAAGGGCATCGTGCACCGTGATCTGAAGCTGGAAAACTTGCTCCTGGACCGCAATCGAAACATCATCATCACTGATTTTGGCTTTGCCAATACGTTCGACTCTCACGACGAGCTGACTGAGGAGGAAGAGCTGAACCTTTCGGACCGCGACTTTGTCAAGCGGCTAGGTCTCGACAAGATTAAGCCTAACGGCATGCGCAAGGGTGATTTGATGCAGACTAGCTGTGGAAGTCCCTGCTATGCCGCACCAGAGCTCGTCGTGAGCGATTCGCTGTACACCGGAAGGAAAGTTGATGTGTGGAGCTGTGGTGTCATCTTGGTGAGTACAGACTGCTTTCTTCGTCCACTCTCTTCTTCTCTTCCTCTTTTTTTTTTTTTTTTTTTTTTTTTTTTTTTTTTGCCTCGAGTCAAATAGCTAATGCGGTTGGGGATTGATAAACAGTATGCCATGCTCGCTGGCTATCTTCCTTTCGACGATGATCCTGCTAACCCCGAAGGCGATAACATCAACCTTCTTTACAAGTACATCGTTACGACACCACTGACATTCCCCGAATACGTGACACCACACGCCCGAGATCTATTACGACGAATTTTGGTACCTAACCCGAGAAAGCGAGCCGATTTGTTTGAGGTGGCGCGCCATAGCTGGTTGAGCGAATACGCTCACGTTGTTGAGTTCATTACCAGCTCGACCACTTCTCCATCCGAGGTCCAGAGCGTCAGCGCCACAGGCTCTGACTATGCTGAGGCCCCCATGGTTACGAGAAGCGCTTCTGTCCGCGAAGCGCCAAAGCAAAAGACTCCACAGCCCACTGCTGTCGGTGGCCTAGTCAAGGCGCACGGCAAGATCGATTCTCCTCCCGAAACTACCCAGCGCACTCCCAAAGACGCCAAACGCCGCACTGTCCAGGTCGAGTACGTCGCGCCCATCACTCAGACACAGCGTGGCGGCCTCGAACCGGAGGCTGCCAGGCACCAGTCTCGGCCAACTTCTCGACATCATCAGGAGACGGAAGATTTGTCGGTGGACGACAGACATGTCTCACACTCACGACCGCAGTCAAAGAGAGGGCCGGCTACAGCGGCGCAAACGACCGGAATGCCCCAACCGACACGGCCGTCGCGAGATGTTCGTGCGACCTCGGACAACACATATTCCATTAGCATCCCTGCGGCGACTACCAACCGACCCCGTACTGGCAATTCTAGAGAATCTGCTACTTCTCTTGGCTTGCAGTCTGGAGGCAATTATGGCCAGCCCGCCCCCCCTGCCATCGCAGATACCAATGTTCAAGGCCGCATCCAACAACCTTCCAATGCTGAGGAGGATGCTATTGAAAGAACTAACACCAATGTGCCCCCCAAATTTGCGCGGATGTCGGGCTTTCATGAGCCTAAGAGCAGTGATGGAAAGGGACACAAGAGGTCCAATACGATAGGAGAGATTGGCTCGAAGCTTTTGGGTCGCAGCGGGTCCATGTTTGGACGCAAGGGGAAGAAGGCCGAACAGCCAATCGAAAAATCCAAGAAGTACCCTCCTATTAGCATGGCTAATTCTGGAATGGTAGCAGCAACAGGTGCAGAGGAACCCCAGTCACGGCGGTCGATAGACTCGAAGGCGTCACGCCGATCTTTTACTCTTGGGCTTGGCAAGAAGAGGAGCGGAAGTATAAATGGCTCTCAAGACTCGATCGTCGACAAGAAAGAGCGCCGACGGTTTTCGCTTCTCCCCGCATCCTTTTCTCTCAAATCGTTCAACCCCCCCAAGGACTATGGAAGTGCTCCCCCTTCTGAGTACCAATCTCAGCAAGACCTACCCATCCAAAACCCTCGCACTGCTGACCTTGGCCGGAGCGTCACATCCCACGGAGGCAGCACACCTTTCTTTGACAACGCATATGACGGCCAGCCATTAGATACGGCCGTATCTCACCCGACTCAAAACAACAACTTGGCCCCGGCGGATGCTGCTAGGCGACCTAATGCAATCCCACAGTACTTGCAACAAAGCACCCATCTCAATAGTGCATCCGACACCTCAGTGGACCTGCGTCCGCCTCCTGGAGTGAGGCAGGGCCCTTATCAGTACGGATACACCCAATCTGAAGGCTTTGATGGACGGGGAATCAATTCCAGCAGGGGAGTGTTACAGAAACCTCACAAACGCTTTGTGGATGCCTACGACCAAGGAGATTACCGAGGCCATGAGGGAAGCAGTGGAGCTGCTAAGCGTGTCATGGACTTTTTCCGGAGAAGAGGCAAAGCTAGGGGGGGAGACGACCGATAACGGTTCGCCTGAGAAGGGCATAAAGCAGAGAATTCATGAATGATTTCACGCCAGCCCAGATCAAAAGAAGAAGAAAAAATTACTGCTACGTCTTTTCTGAGGGCCTCGGCTCCTTGGATCGACCGGGTGCGTTTAGTGGCCTTGTTATTGTTTTATATATTTCTTTTCTGAGCAGGAGGGCATCGCCAAATTTTTGTCAACATCAAGTTGTAATCATCAAAGCGCGCAAAGCAGATATCATTCGGCCTATTTAATATTCCCCGTTGACGAAAACCAGCCAACGTAGCAGCTCTCCATCCTTACAGGGGCCTACTGCTGGGGAAGTTGGCATGCCTTGTTTGGCAATTTTCTCTTACTTTTTCTTTTCTTTTTTTTTTTTTTTCATTTTCTCGCCTTTCCTTTGTACTGTATTTTCGTTTAGCATGATTTTGCAAATCGTATATTGCGCTCATGTGGAGGCTGTTATGAACAAAATTACACACAAACAAAGCACCTCGACTAGATTTGGTTGTGGGATATTCGTGATGTGGTATATCAGAACGCCCAAGGTACTATTTACCTCCTTATTTATTGTCTTCTATCTTTTTTTTTTCAAGCTTAGTAGAAAGTTTGGTCCAGTATGTTGGGATTATTGTTCTATATACCTGAATTGGTGTGTACTTGTACTTGTTTTCTTTTCTTGTTCTTTTTTTCTTGTGTTGGGCATTTTGGCAGGGCAAATTGAGCGGAGTCTATGAGGTGACAAAGATGCGCATATACGGATGGGGTGGAGGTGAAGAAAGAGAGTTTTGCGATTTGTTTTATTTTTTTCTTCCGTTTGAAAGGAGCAGCAAGAAGAATACATGTGAGGAGTATTTTCGCGTGCGAGACGACGTTTTTTTGAGCTCCTTATTGTGTGATTATTACCATTTGTTAGATATTCATTTTTTTTCGCTTATCACTAGCAGGTCTCGAGATGATATCTCAATCTCTACTTTTTCACACGACTAAGGTCTTGCTTGTATCGGATAGAGATGCCGTGAACTCATTTTCCGGTGAAACTGTGCCAGTTCTAATGCATGTCTGGTATCATCCATAGACAATTGCATTCGACGGCTAACTGATGCCGAGTCTCTGTTTCACCACTTCTGTGTACTGAGAATGAAGGCCGAAAAGTTGCATTCCCTTACGAAAGTCATCAGCTCACTGCTTCGTTTCACGGCGTTTGTCTGACCGACACCGAGCACAAGCTACGTCATAAGTTTTGCCTTGCACTCGGGAGAAGAAAAAAAAAAAAAAAAAAAAAAAAAAAAAAAAAAGGCCCTCCCAAGGATCCTTCCTAGACTGGGGATACACGATTCTACGGCAATTTGCCATAAGAAACGCTACATCCGAAGTTCAAAGAAACAAATGTCCGAGAAGGGCGGAATACTAACGCGTTTGGCACGGGTACGAAAACGTCATACACGTGGCATTGAGGGAGTGTGGCTGATGCTTCTTGTTTTTTTGGTGTGACACTGGCGTGTGTTGTGGCGAAGCTATGGTGGATGGAAGTGGATAGTGGGGCAGAGGAGGCTTAGCTCAAGGTATTGCCAGAAAGAGCTTTTTTGCTCTGGGAACGAGGCTCGCATGAAATTTCCCACTTTGGGATGGGGATTTGAGCGTGTCTTTGTTTGTTTGAGTTGGGCGATTTGCGCGCTGGGAGGACGTTTGCTATTTTTCCTACTATTTCTCTTTCTTTTTCTCTCTTTTTTTTTTTCTTGTGTCACTGATGGATGATGAAGGCTTTCTTTGTTTAAGAAGTAACTATTTTGCGTAATAATACGCGGACGGAAATCTATGCATACGACGTATTGAGAGCATTGGAGTATTCTTGCTCGTCCAGAAGACAAGGAGGAAGCGGTAGACGACCCCTGGAGACGCGCGTGGGGTCCTGTTTCTCTTGATAAACTGGGACGTTTCTTTGAGTGTGGGGATGGGCTGACATGGGCAGAAGTTGCACCAACAGCCGAGCAAGATTACTCGTGTATACCCCGATTGTGGAATGCAAGTGCCGTTGGAAAGGTTCCCATCGCTTCGGGAAATTCACTGGCGGGCTTATTCTGCTTTGAGTGACTGTGAGCGGCTGAAGAGGCGAGCCGGCGAGCTTAAGCCCGTGGTTTGCAGGCCGTGTTTGTCTTATCCCCTTGCTGCTGGGCCGATGTGTGTCTCGGGAACCGGCTTCTGTCCAAGGGGGAATGAATGATGCCTTTTTTTTTTTCGGTCTTTTTAAGATGTGAACTTCTCTCACATCCCATCTCATCTTTCTTTATGTGTGACTGTACTTTGTAGCCGTAACGCAATACATCAATCCATTTAGTAGGTGATCATCAATGATGAATAGAATGGCGGTGGGCAAAGCCGGATGTTTCGTCCATATTGGCTGCACCGGTCAAGGAATTGCACGTTGATTACAGCGCCAAGGCGCGATGCATTGTTGCGCCCACGCAAATGCCTGCTGGGCTGTCGTTAGCGCATGGCGGCGGACCTGACTACGCTGCTATGATGTAGCTCTAGGGGGAACCGGTGGTAGGTGATTGGGTGCTGCCGTGGGACTCTGCCAGCCCAACCTTGCTTGCCTCTCTCCACTAAGCTTAAAGGCACGGAGTCGCGATGAACCCTGAATCAATAGGGAGTTGGTGCTACGAGATGCTAAGAGTAGTACCTACAATAGGTAGTACGGAGTACCTACTACCTATTGCTAGATGTACATGTGTATGGTACGGAGCACTATAGACTGGTGGGAGGAATAATTGCACTAAAGTCAATTGTGGCTGCAGCTTGTATTCTACTGCCGGCATTGTATTGATTGATTCGATAGCGGGATTGTGGCGTCGCCAGTGCACTCCAGCGTTGAGCCGTGGTTGTGCGCGCGTGCCCAGGCACAAAGCAAGCAGATAAGGTGCCAGACTACTGAGGCCATCTCTCGTGGCGCCGTCCCCACCCCTGCCTGCACCCGACAGCAGCGTCATCCACATTCCCCGTTTGTCTCACGCTACCGGCCACAGTCACAGTCGCCTCTCTCTCGATAGACTTAAAAGGGATCCCGATTCCCGCTTCTCATGGTTCCTATTCCCTACTTTCTCTCCCTCTCCCCTCTATTCTCTCTTTCCAAGGGATTTTCCCAACCTTTCTCGCAGCTTGTTCCTGGCATATACAATCGGTTCCTTGCTTTGCTTGCTGGATTGCATCGCGCCTTGCCCAAGTTTTGCCACCGTCGTCCTCGCTGCTCGCCAACACCTGTTCGATGAAGGAGGCCTCATCCGACCCCGATATAGCCTCCAAACGCTCTGATGCACAGCCCGTAGCGGATGGACTCTCCCACCAGCCGGATACTGAGCTCCGTGACCTGTCTCCCTTGACCGAGCACGCTCCAGCAGCTGCCTCTACTGCAGCATCTCCAAACAACAACCAGACACCCAACAGCCACAATGCCGGCGCATTGTCTCCCCTCAGCAGCGATGCTCCTCCCATCGTCAACAAGATACCCGAAAAGGGCTTCCTCAAGTCGTCGCTCGCCCCAAAGAAGCGCTCGTCAGCGCCACCCTCGCAGGATGAGAGGCCGGGGTCTTTCTTAGGAACTAAGGAGGCCTACGAAAGCACCTCTGCCCCCGAAACCACCGCCGATTTTGACGGCGGAAACGAGAATGAAAACGACGGCCAGAAGAAGCGCACCTTTGCCCAAGAGTTTCGTAGATCCTTCTGGCTTGTCCTTACCCACAGCTGGTTCAATGTCCTGCTCGTATTCGTGCCCCTGGGCATCATTCTCGCCAACATCAATGGCGTTAATAGCGGCGTCGTCTTCGCCATGAACTGTATTGCCGTGATTCCTCTCGCTGGTCTCCTCAGCTTTGCGACCGAGTCGGTGGCCAGTAAGATGGGCGACGCTCTTGGCGCTTTGCTCAATGTGACGTTTGGCAATGCCGTGGAATTGATCATCTTCATCATTGCCCTGGTCAAGAATGAGATCCGCATCGTCCAAGCATCCCTGCTGGGCTCCATCCTCGCCAACTTGCTGCTCATTCTGGGAATGGGCTTCTTCCTCGGTGGTTTGCGCTTCCGAGAGCAAGTTTACAACAGCACCGTCACTCAGATGAGTGCCTGTCTTCTCAGTTTGAGCGTCATCAGTCTGGTCTTGCCTGTACGTGTTTCGCCTCGCTCCCGTTTTCGCCTATGCTATACTGGCCTGCTGACTCCCTTCTAGACGGCTTTCCACGCGTCATTCAACGATGCAAGCTTGGCTGACCGCCAGTCACTCAAGATTAGCCGTGGTACCAGTGTTGTGAGTTGAAGATACTGATTATCAAAAAACGCACAAATCAGCATCTAACTAAATATTGCAGATTCTTCTACTGGTATACATCATCTACCTTCTTTTCCAGCTTAAATCCCACGCATATCTCTACGAGTCGACTCCCCAGAATATTGTTGACGCCGAGTCAATCCCAGGTCCTGCCGCAGCATGGCTGGACGCTTCAAGCTCAGAGTCTAGCTCAGATTCTAGCTCAGATTCTGATGACTCAAGTCACTCCCGGGACACTGTTCGCCGTGCGATGAGAAAGGTTCTCCGCCATGGGCGCAGAAGAAAGTCGTCTGTTGCCTCCGTGGAGACTAGCGACCTTCCCACTAGGACTTCGTCTTTTGGAACCAATGCCACTAGCCCTCAGGAAGAGTCTTCTGAAACATCTTCCCGCCCGCAATTCCCTAGGCTTTCGTCAACTGAGACCAATGAGGAGGCTGTCGAAGATGACGAGCGGTCCCATCGCAAGCATAGAAGACCTAGCATTCGACACTTGCGCAAAAAGCACAAGAAGCAGCGTCGTCACCGCCAGCATGATGCAGGCGGTGATGCCCAGCAGACAATAACAGAACAGCCTGACCAGAGCTCACATGGAAACGGGGAGCCTCGTCGTGTCGACTTCGCTATCCCCAACGACGCTGAAGCCACAAATAGTGGCAACGAAACCGGCGCTGGATCCAAGCGGCCGTTCCCTGCTTTACGCTCCGTGTCTGTGAAGAACTTGGCGCCCACCGTCTTTGTGCAGAAGCCCGAGTTGGATGTTCTGTCTGCTGTCCCTGCTGGTCCGGTTCCTCGTGTTCGTTACGGCGTTCGTCGCACCAACTCCCTTCCCGATAGGCTGAATCACCAGATTCGACCTCCCGGAGCCATGCTGCCGGCTCAGGTGCCCTTGACCGCTGTGAGTCGCTCAATGAGCGGGATCAAAGAGGAGGAAGAGGAGGAGCACCTTACCCAGGCGGCTGCAGTTATCCTGTTGCTTGTCACGACTGGACTTGTCGCAGCATGTGCCGAGTTTCTCATTGGTTCTATCGAAGATGTCGTTGCCACATCAAGTGTTGGCGAAGTCTTTATCGGTCTTATTGTCTTACCCATTGTTGGTAACGCAGCTGAGCACGTCACGTCTGTCACCGTCGCAATGAAGAACAAGATGGACCTGGCTATTGGTGTTGCTATTGGCAGTTCCATCCAGATTGCCATTTTTGTCACTCCCTTGGTTGTTATTCTCGGCTGGATCATGGACAAGCCCATGACGTTGTACTTCACCCTGTTTGAGACGGTCTGTCTCTTTGTATCAACGTTTATGGTCAACTTCCTTGTTTTGGATGGCCGTAGTAACTACCTCGAAGGCGCTCTGCTGTGTGCAGTCTACTGTATCATTGGCGTTGTGGCTTACTTTTACCCATCCGGCGCAGATGCCAGTGCGTGGGGTAGCTAGTCCAGTCACGAACGCCGGCTAGTCAGTCCTTTTACATGCCTAGGAGGCTCTCTCTGAACAATTACTATATGCTTTAATGTTGGAATGTATAATGAACGGAACACCATTGGTGAGATGGTTACGAGGGTGACCTAGGTAATGAATAATGCGAGCTTGGTAAACAGGCACTTCTACTAGTATTAGTTTCATGCAGCTGTCCGTATTGTACACGCTGGATAATATGGAATATGAATTGCTCCGCATGACCAGACAAGACTTTTGTGAAATAAAATATGTGCGTATCATACGCAACGTAATACGCCGTAAAAGGATGAGCTTTGGCACCAAGGCTGTGCTGTGCAAGACCTCTAATAAGGAAAGATTCCGCAATTGATGCCCAGTTACCTTGAATTAAGGTTAGAGCCTCCCCAGAGTTGCTCCAGAAAAAAAGAGGGCTAGGGGTAGGGTGTGCAGTAGTAGCAACGCAGCACAGCACAGCCACATGGCAGAGACATCGCAAGCCAGGCGGCCGCCTATTAGGTGCTATTTCCCAGTAGCTCACCCTTTGTTTTAGCCATGCTTCTATAGCCTTCCATCCTCCTTCACCTTCTTTCTCACTCTTCTCATTCTGCTTTCCTTGTTGTTTTCCATCAATTCGTTAGCAGACCGTCTCGGGGATTTTACAATACAATCCCCTTCCTCCTCCTGATATAGTGCGTGAGACGACTGCAAAGGAAGCAGCAAGGAGCTGTGAATTCGATCGCCTGATATCCAAAACAGAGCATCAACCATGTGTTTTGGCAACCAGAATGAGAGGAACACCGATCCTCCTGCGAGGCCGGTGCAGAATTATGACGGTGCAAGGACAAATCTGACGAGTCAGTATTCAGCGCCGCCGCCAGGATATCAGAGTCAACAGCACCACCACCAGAATAGACCGTACGACGACTTCGCCCCCCCTGCTGGACCGCCTCCTGGTCGACGGCAAGAAGAAGACTTTGCACCTCCTCCTGGCCCTCCTCCAGGACGACAGCAGCAGGACGATTATGCTCCTCCCCCAGGGCCGCCTCCTTCTCATCAGCAGGGCGACTTTGCGCCGCCGCCTGGACCGCCGCCGTCTGCCAGCAAGGGCGATTGGATTGCTCCCCCATCGGACCCCTATGGTTCTCAGCCTTCCAAAAGCCACGACTGGCAGGCTGCCGTGCCAGACACTTCTCTCTTCCCACCGCCTCCTATGATATTCAGTGGCTACGATGCGTCGCCTGCCAACAATGCGACTGAGGCGGAGGCAGAGGCGGGCGAGGAATGGTGCCGACAGTATCCCATGGTCAGGCCCATCGTGCTCGACCAGCCGGGCAAGAATGCGCTGCAATCCAACAACTTCCGACTCCTGGAGCCGGCGGGCTTTAATGGTTCCCTGAACTTCCTTGCGCCGGGCCACTGGGAGGGCCACACAAACAAGAATAGCCCCGACCGCTGCATCATCGGCTACCCGCCTCTCTACGTGGTCAACGAGCACGACCCTACGGCAACCAACCAGCCAAAGTCTATCTACTACGAGGTGACTATTCGCCACAACAGCCCCACCGTCAATCTGGCTCTGGGCTTCACTGCCCTCCCCTATCCATCCTTCCGCCTGCCAGGATGGCACCGCGGCAGTCTGGCTGTCCACGGAGACGATGGTCACAAGTACATCAACGACCGATGGGGCGGCAAGGACTTTACGACGGAGTACCGTGCAGGCGATACGTACGGCATTGGCATGACGTTTACGCCGACGGGCACGCACAGGCCTCGCGTTGACATCTTCTTCACGAAGAACGGCAAGCGAATTGGTGGATGGGATCTCCATGAGGAGACGGACGCTGAGCAGGATTTGCCGGTTACGGGGCTGGAGGGCTTTCATGACTTGAGTTGTGCGATTGGAGCGTTTGATGCGACGAGCTTTGAGGTTGTGTTTGACCCGGCCAAGTGGCTGTACAGGGAGGCTAGATTTGATCTCTGATGAAGGAGTGACGGCTTGGTGAGATGAGTGTGACTACGGTTATGACGAGATTTGATGGGATACAGCGGTTACTTTGCGAGCTGTGTTAGACGGGCTATTTAAAATGATTTTAGAGTGCGAGTGCTGGGATGAGTAGATGGCTAGACTAACGATGACGGTGAGCGTTTGATTTGTCTTTAATGAATCCCATTAACTTTAAGGGATGGATGAGTAGTACATAGCATGGTTACTAGCCCTCCTCAGCATGCTGCCCATACCATTACCCCTTGTTTAATGTCTAGCATATGGCCTGTTAACATGTAATAATGTTTCAGCACCCGCTTTATTAGTTGATACGTGTTCTAGGTCTAGGCAGCTATTGCTCTGGTCTGCGTGCTGCTTTCCTGATCTCTGGACAAAAAAAAAATAACATGAAGTACAGAGACGCAATATGCGCATACAGCCTTGACCACTAAAGTCCAACACAGCAATTTCAGAGTCGGTCTTCGTGACCATTCTTCTCATTTCTTACTTCCCTAGTAAACCATGGAAGAAGAAGCGACGGCAACCCGCGAGACAACAACTCCCCAAGAAGCCAAATCTATCGAGCCCAATGACACTTCTCAGCTACCGCCACTCGTACCGCGTCGCGTACAAGAACTAAGAAACCCGAGGAGCAGGCCGCGCAAGAGCTTCAAATCTCGTGCCAGAGAAAGAATTGTCAGAGACCGGCATCGCTCTCCTTCTCCTCCCCGCTGGCGTCTAGAAGTCATCTCCACTCTGGAAAGCAGCCAGTCCTTCAGCACTCGCGTCAAAGTCCTCCGGATCCTCGACCGCATCCCCGAGCTCAAGGACCACGTGCCCCAGATTGTATCCTCTAATACGAAATTGCGATCCTACACGGTTCGATTTACCCGCTGTGAATTGGTGAGCTTGGAGCGTGAAGCTCGTCGGTCTCAGCTTTCGTATAGCAGAATACAGGGGTTTAAACATCAGCTCTACGGCTTCGTCAAGTTGATGTACCAAAGCGGCGTGAGGTACAATCTCTACCCTCGCAATATCTTTCTATACACGCCGTTTCAGAGGGAATCTACCCGGCAGCTGTTCCTCGGATCGGTGGAGGACTCTGATCTTGTTGATGCGGCGGAACCCAGTTGGAATGAATGTCGGAAGCACGTGTGGGACCACATCAATCGCGTCTTTGCACTTGTTGAGATTTGGACGTATCAGGATGAAGCTATCGACTTGATGGCCGCTGTGGACAGGGACAAGGACGTGGTAGAATCGCTGATTGAGGATAGGAATGCCATTATTGACGCAGCCAGGGTGGATGCGAATGAGGCACGAATCATTATGGCGGATACGGTGGAAGTTTTCAACAAGGCATTGGCTAATATTAAACAACTGGAGGCCTTGTCCAAAAACATCATGTGCTCTATCAGAGGCCCAATCTTGGTCTGGGAGGATGCACAGGCTAGAAAAGAGGTTGTGGAGCAGAACTTGAAAAAGATAGAGGTTCTTGGGTACAGGACAAATGCTCTCATCCAGAAATACAGTGATCCGGCGCCCAAGGATGGAGCGAACTCGGTGGATATCTCGCCGCAGTCCGGTGACGAGCCGGAGGAGACGAGTAATTCGCCTGTCGGTGGTGCCAGAGCAAAGGAGAGTGTGGCAATAGGGGTGGGAGAGTTGATGGCTCAAGATGAGGAGATCATAATATATGACGAGGAAAAAGCTGAAGCTGAAGCTGTGGCGGGCAATGTTGGCTTATAGGCCCAACTCACGAGAGCCTGAACAAGACTCCCAGCTATGATTATCATATCGTCTTGGCGCATCCTAGCAGTAGATTTCCATGCGCCATGCACGTTGCAGAAATAAAACCAAATGACCAACATGCCCATCTGCCTCTTTCATGCTCCTCAGTCTTTCCATGCCTATTCATTCTTACATGTGGATGAGCCTCTGCGGTATCGCGATCAAGCCACCGGCTAGCAAGGATCATGCAGCTGCTACCCCACCAGCACCAATACCTTAGTATAGCAGGTACCTGACAGAGAGGCACGGTACATGGTACCTCCTCTAGGGCCTAGAAACCGCCTGGATCCCTTGTAGCCGCAGCGCCTCTTCGAAAAGCATCATCATCACCAACCACGACACACCCAAGACAAACAGGCGTCGCGTGCCCACCCGCAACTTTTCCTTGTTTGCCCATGGACGTGGACAGCGATAATGACTTGCTCAGCAAGACCGCCGCTGGAGAGCTCGTCGAGTCGTACGTGGCGCCTCATCGCACCTCATCCATCCATCCAACACAGACAGCCCGATGGCAGCTCTGATTGTGCTTTTGCTAATCTTGCTTTTTTGTTTTTTCTTTCCAGAGAAGCATGGCCGGCCTTGCGCGACGAGATCCTTTCGCGGCTAGATAAGGTGCGTTTCTGATCCAGCGGCCTGTGGGAATATGCGACATGGTGCAATTGAACAGAAATCGCTAATTCGAGGACCTGCAATTCGGCAGATCGCACGCGACGAGTTTCCCATACCCAGGCTTCCTCCTCCTCTGCCGCGCCCCCAGCTGCTGGACACAAGAGTGCTCTCCCCGCTATCATCACCGCCTGCCGAGCGGTCGTTTGAAGATGCCAACAAGGAGAATGCGCCTGCGGGCGATCAACCGCCATCCGCAGCCGAAACAGAACCCGTCGCTGCGTCTCAGCCGCCGCCACCAGCACCAGCACCGTCCTCGCCACAATCCCCATCACGAACCCAGGAGCAGTCCGATGTGCTGCCGAAACAGCTGGCAGACATGGTCAACGAGATCAAGAGCCACATTGGGAGCTTCAAGTCATATCCACCACACACAATCCAGAGAATCGCAGAGCTCATTCAGCACCCGCGCGCGCACTACAAGGCTTTGGCGTCGTATCTGCATGCCCTAGACAGAGTATCGGCCGTGACGTCGGGAACGAATACGTATCCGCTGCCGCCGCCGATTCCCGACATGTCAGCGATGCAGCTCAATGGAGATGAGCCCAACGATCCGGCCATGGCTGTCTCTTGGAGCAACCCGACTTCCGCGGCGGTTGGGTCTGATGAAGCCCTGGGAGGGGCACTGTTGACTCCCATTCCGTGGTTAACGAGGGGCACGCCTCCTGATAGCGCTATTGAGACACCAGTCGGTGCGCAGATTCACAGTGAAAGCACCGAGACCATCGAAGGACCTAATGGAGTGGGCAGCATCGAGACTGTTTCCGTGAGCATCAACGGTGTACCATCTATCGGGCATTCCAGGGGCGTCACGCAGGGCGAGCTTCTCAGGCAGGAGCAGAGAGCTGGTATCGTCCCCGTCACTCAGCTCACTAAACCCCATGATGCGATGGGCGAAAGTGAGCAATCCGAGGCGTCAGAAGACCAGCCCATGGGTGACGACGATGAGGAAGAGGCCCCCCACGCGAGAGGCCCGGACGAAATTGGGGTTGGCGACACGGGCCCTCAGTCTGAAACGACAAGTCTCATGGGAGAGGACGGCGTTGAGATGGAGGGCATCGATCTCGAAGCTGCGGTGGGCCGGAAACACGTAGATGAGAAAGACGCATCTTCCGCGGCGGGAGAGAAAAGCACAGCCGACGAGACTACTTTGTCTGAACGGGCAAAGAGCCCCAGCGCCGAGAGCGTAAGCTCTAAGCGCGAGGCAGAAGATGATTTAGAGGAAGACGTCGTGGCGAAGAAAGTCAAGGAGGACCCGAGCGGTGATGGGGATACACAAATGTCTTTGTCATCGGAAAAGGCGCCAGACTCTGAAGAACAGAAGGACGAGAGCGAAAGCAAAGAGGGCGAAGCCAAGAATGATGACTCTGTGGACAAGGACGCCTAAAGGGGCACACACACATAGAGAGGGAGAGTTATATCTATGGCGTTGTCTCTTACCACCGTTTCTTCCACGGCCCCCTCCCCCTCCGTCTGGCTATACGTTTCCCATCTTTGATATGCGCTGACTGAGTGTCAAAGATAGAAGCAGCAGCATTCATCCATGCTTGTGTCTTTTTTTTTTTTTTTTCTTTTTTCTCCTTGTCCTTCTATGTCACCCAGAGAGGAAGGGAGGGAATTCTCAAAGGGGAAAAGAAGATCATTCCCATTTTCTTTCATAACACACACAATGGGAAGGGGGAAAGCATACGAATCCACAACCTATCTGGATAATTATCATGGAATGTGGAAAACCATATGTGCTAAGGAAAAAAAAAAAACATCTTTACCTCCTATGTTTGTGGCATAGGAGAGGCGTCTTTAGGGCATCAAGGTTTAATTCATGTATAATTAAGAGTCATATCTATTTAGGATCACGGACGCGGGAATTAAATATTATGGGATATTTCTTATACCTTTTTCTTTTTCTTCTTTTCTACCATCTCTCAAATCAGAGATGCGAAAAAACTTTGGTACATCTCTCGCGCCTGTTCTACTTACACCTAAACAAGTAAACCGGTTACAGACGCGATATATCTCAAACATACAACTCTCACATGCACACACAAGTAGCAGAGTAATCAACGTCACATTTACACTCTATTACAAGACTATCAAGTAATATGCAAAAGTGAATGGAAGGAAAAAAAAAAAAAAAAGGACAACAGCCACCTCAGCCTCATATGGATGCGTAAATCTCATATATAACCCTTCAGATCCCCCGTTCAAACAAAAATCCAACTTTTTTTCCAGATCCCAGTGGTCGAACATCGGACCACACCGAACGAACAATCCAAACAATCCATTGGGTAAAAAAAAAACGCCCTCTCCAAACGCCCCAGTCGTCCTTCCCATAAGCCCCTAGTATTATAAGGTACCAGAAGTACTTAGAGCCTCTATATCGTGTTTTTCTTCATACTGAAGAATCTAGATGAAGGGTGCATTGCATCGTAATTTGGTATAAGCTTCGCCATAGCGTTGTTGTAAACAGTTCCCCTGTCTAGCCGTTGTATGGTCGGCGAGACGTTGAGAGAAGTAGTAATCTTATATCAAACGCAAGGGAGATAAAAGGACGTGTCCGTTTCCCATATTCCGACTCCACCAGCCCTGACTCCGCTATATTCTGAGAGAGATATCCCACGGTGATGCAAAAGAAAAGAAAAAAGTTAAAAAAAAAAAAAAAAAAAAAAAAAAAAAAAAAAAAAAAAAAAAANAAAAAAAAAAAAAAAAAAAAAAAAAAAAAGAATAGAAAAAAGAATAGAAAAATCCAATAGGGAAGAAAACGCCGACGCCATGCTATTTGTTGAGGAAGCGGTGAGAACGTTGCTCATAAAGTTAGAGAAGCAGGGAAGTGTACGCTATGTGAATCCAGGAAAGACACTCGAGATAACACGTCGCCCTGGAATATCCATTGTTAGCAAGATTCCTCAAAGGAGAAGCGGAGCAAAGCATATAACTTACATTTAGGGCGCCTCAAGTCAGGGTCTTCAAATGGCGCATTCTGGCTTGCAATCTCCCGCATGCGCTCTCGTGCAAACGACGAAGGGCTATGTCCTCCGGCACGCTGTGCCACTACCAGCTCAACGCCCTCTGGAGCAGTGGGTAATATTCTCAAAGCACGAGGCTGGGGTTTGCGGGTCTTTGTCCGGGTTGGTGGCGCCGGATTTTGCGTTACAGCAGCTGTTGTCTCTCCGACTGCATCTTCTTCAGATTCAGATATTTCCATAATTGTTGTTCCAGACGGCGTCAATGGTATTTCTCTAGTAGCTTCAGTTTCCGCAACAGCCTGCTCTGTAGACGTGGATATTTTCTTCCCAGAAGGATCTCTATCAGGCTTACTGCCCTTCACCGGTGTCAGTGGGACGTCAGGCGAAGCTGCGTTGTTCCGTGAGTGAAATATCTTCTTTGTCCAACCCTTGATCTTGTTATCGCCTGATTCCAGAGACGAATCGTCCAAATCAACCCTCCCTCGCAGTTTCCGCAGGGCACGTTCGCGACGAACCATTCCGTTCGTAATGGGAGGGCAGTATCCGCGAGGCAGTAAGCAGTATTTGCACATTGGGCACAATGAGCTGTTCTCGAGAAGAAACTCTTCTATACAGTCAGGGTGGAATATATGGCCGCAAGTGAGTTCTTTAATGATGGTAACGCGATGTTCAAAGCGATCGAGACAAATATGGCAATTGGGCTGGAAGTTGGTGGCGGTAGTATCGGATCCTGTTATGCTCGATCTCTTGCTTCGCACGCTTCGTGTACTGCGAACGCTCTGCTCACTGGGGGATATAATATCGCTGGCAGCGGCTCGGTCGTGTCTGCGACTTCTCCTCGATTTTCCGCGCGGGCCGGGAGACGAAGGAGTTGGCGGGCTGTTTAGCGAATCCGGGTCTTGGTTATAGGTGAAAAGCGGGAACGACTTGACGTGTGTGTACGGCACGGTCAACCGCTTTATACCCATGGCTTCCAGATCAACCTCGCCAGATTCAACGCGACGTCTCAGCGAGTGGCGGCGTCGCCTCTGTATCAGATGCATAGTGAGTGAAATTCCACCGATGATGGCCAACAAAGCACTAATGACAATGAGAAAAAATATCCACAAAGCGGGAATATTGGTGGGATTTTTCATGGACAGCTCGGTCCATATTCGAACATAGTCTTTTGGGTTAGGTCCATAGAGTTGCGCAATCTCCTGGCCATGGGGTATCTGGTCAACAGTCCCCGAGTAGTAACTGAGTTGAGTCATCATTTTCTGGCCCTCAAGACCCGAGACGGCAAAGACAGGATACTGGTTTTGCTTCCTCCACGCGCCATCATCGTCGAGATTCCAGACGGGGGAGTCGACGTCCTGGGGTTTGTTTGACGAGTTGTTTGGCTTGTAAAAAATGAAGGCGCGGATGGGGTCGGCGCGGGCGGAGGCGAGATAGGCTTCGGTACAGTCTATACTGAACCAGGGAGCGAGAGCAATGAGATTGTAGTTGGTGGGAGGGAGGTTGAAGCGGCGAGTAACATTTCTCGGGATGAAGTCGTACTGCTGGGCGTCGCAAGACGGCATGCGGGCTATATCGGGAACGTATAAAAGGCCTTGTATGACCCCATTCAGGGTGTCGGCATTCGTCGTCGTTAACGTGGTGATGTTGCTATCGATGCGCTCCTCGTATGCTATCTGACTCTGTGACAAGCAATGTCAGCGGCACTTCATAGAGGCGGTTACAAAGACGGATGGAGGGGGAATGGACGCACGGAGAGCGCTGTGATGTTTCTGATGATGGTGGTGGGCACGGTGGTAGCACCACCCCAGACCGGATTACTGAAGAGAAGCCTGTCAAGCCGTCAGTAGGTGTCGCAGACGCAGACGCAGATGCGACAGCAGAAACAGAGGTAGAGATGCTAGCGATCGAAGTCGTCATCATGCGAGCAACGTCAAAGTAGCGCTCTGCGGCCATATGTGGTGGTGGCCCTCGACGGCGATGAGGCGCCAATGACATGGCGGCGATGGCAAGCAAGCAGCGGCATTGACGTAGACTCGCAGAGGATGGCGGCACCGGCAGAAGCAAACAAGAGCGCGCATCAACAGGCCTTTTCCTGCCTTCTTAGAGCAACATACACGACATTTCGAATCTCGGAGAGCGCTGTGAGACGTCAGTTGCCGGCCGCCAAGACTGGGGTCACGTAGGGGTAGGCTTGGCCGCTGCAGGACGGTGTTCAGCAGCGGCTCGGGACGGGAGGCGAGCAGCACTCACACATTCTTTAACACATAGGCATAGCTGGGCGGGAGGCGGTAGTCATGATATAGAAGGCACCGGCGGTGCGACGGCGAGAGCGGACGGGGCGACGTGGAAACGCGGGCACGAGGGAGACGTTGGAGGTTGATGGTTTGGCCCGGCGAGAGAGGCGGGAGCGAGCACCATAAAACAACAGCGGCGTAGGGGGGGCCACAGGGCGAGTCGAGATCAGGAAGAGCGAGAGAGGAAAAAAAAAAAGGTGCTGTGCTGCTGGAAGTACGGCACCGCAGTCTGGTGCTAAAAAGTAGGCCAGGGATAAGCGGCGCAGGTAGCGGTACCTGTACTTGGTGGTGGCAGCAGTGGCACGCTTTGTAGCACCAGGCTAGGCCGGTGGACGCCCTTACAGCGCGCTGCAGGAGGCTTAGTATGGACTGCCGGCCGGAGTACGGTGGGCGCCCGCAACCCCGGAATCCGGCTTTGGCGTCTGTGAGCAGCGACAAGCCACCACCAGCCACCGAGCACACGTACATTCAGTACCGTGCGCCGTATATCGCGGTCGTCGCAGCAGCAGCGCAGACTGAAGCCATGCTCGCGCCGTTTGCGCTGTCTGCGCCTTCTGGTAGCGGCCGGCGAAAGGCGAGCACGGGCACTGACGGGGCCTGAGACACATGTGCTGGTGGAGGCCAAGGCGGGGCGGCTGGACGGTAAACCGGAAGCCAGCGACAGACGTGGAGCAGCGGCAGCGAGTGGCCTCTTATTAATGTAGGTACTGTACGTGCATCTGTCGTGTAGCCCGAGGCTGCGCGGCGCTGTACAGGTACAACCATTGGACAGGCGGGTAATATGGAGTGTTTGAGCTGGTGGTTCTGCAATCCATGAATTATCTTATCCAGCTCAGGCGCGATCCCCAGTTTAGTCGACATGCACACTATGAAGCTCGTCTATCACTACATGTGCCGTTAGCGGTCGCTGCGGCTCGCGTGCTCCATGAGAGATGGACACCAGCTAAACGACCCAAAGCTAAGCTTGACAGAGCGTATCTGTAAAAAGGCAAGCGTGAATGGGAAGGGCATCAATTCCATCTGCCGCTTCCGAGAGACAGGGAGGGAGAGTGGGCGAGTCGGAAGTGATGACACGAGTGTTTTGTGCCGCCTGAACAAGGCTGAGCTTGTACTACGGCAATGCACCTTGAGCCATGTACATGTATGTTTGACATACAAGTACGAGTAACGTCGATGGAGTAACGATATACACACTCAATACAGATAGATACCTACCTACCTACAGTACCTTGGAGGAGTCAGCAGCTGAATATGGTATGGAACATATCACAGCTTGATATGGCCGTCGGCCTCCTAGTGGCAGGCTGGTATGCGCTTTTCACAATCTAAACGACATCCAAGTCATTGTTAAATCTCATATTGAAGGTAAGACAGCGGGAGCTAAGTTTGAATTGCAAATCTTGCTTAGTTTGACAGCATATAAAGGCTATTTGCATGCATGTACCTATTCATAGTACAGGATATGCATCCAGGGCTGAAAGAAGCTGGATGAGTTAAATCTCGTGTACCTAGTAGGCACTACAGCCAATGGAGTATCACAAGTCACAAGCCCATACAACTACCTAGTACCTCTGCACATGTATGTTAACAGCAAGACTCTGTCAAGCACCGCTACTGGAGAGCATCGCGTACCTATGCATGCACAAGTGGCCGGTCAGAGGCTGTAGAGGAACGTCCATCTTGGCGACACACCTCAACAGCCTATAATATCTCCCCCAGCATCTGCCACGGCTAATTTAAGAGGCCAACGGCACTGCTAGTTTAATCTGCCGCGTGCATAAAGCTTGGCAGCATTCAACGCTCCATCAGCCATCGACAACACCAGCGACCATCAAGCCCGTGGTAGCACCAAGCCAGACCCTTCCGCTTCATCACCACCAGGCACATGCAGTTATCATGCCATCAGTCCACTTCACACTCTGCACATTACTTTTCTTCACAGGTCGTGCTACGACACTACCACTGCCACCAGAACTTGCATCAACGCAAGCCTCGCGGCTTGATCGGCTCTTCCGAATCCCGATACGGCGTACACGTATCCGCTCTCACCTCACAGCTGCTAGAGAGCCCGACTCGAAACGCTGGGCCAATTGGTCGCAACAGCCCCAAAGCTTCTTCCATTGGGCCCTGGCGCTAATCCCAGGATGGCGCATCAAGGGCTCCTTCTAGGAATTAGCACAAGCGGCCCCCCTTGTCTTCTGTCGACCCTCTGGAACGATCGAGGCTGCGGCGGACGAGATGGGCCGGGGAAACAGAGGGAGGGGCAGCTGGCCCAGGCAGCAGAGCCTGTTGCACGCGCGCACCTTGAAGGCGCTGTTTACGGCACCTCGTCTCGTCTGGCGGTTTCAAACTGCTCATCACAAGGAAATGGAAATGCTGCGGATATAACCTGAACGGGTGGTTTCACTCTGCTGTCCTTTGATTTGCTCTGCTTGTCCAAGTTCCATCAATCAGCCCGAGTTCTCGGTCTCATGGCCCAGGCCTGTTTCTCTCGCAAAACAGGCGCCCTGCTCCATCTTTATCTCCCCCCGGCTTCTTCGGTTCCCCAACACTACCTATCTATTCAGCTGCCTTGCAACTACTACTAAGTATTACGCCGTCCTAAATTACCTGTACACACACACTCGCACTCACTAGCGGTGGTACAATCACTTACCTACATGGGTATTACTTGCTCGCTCTGCCCGCTAAGCTTCACAGCTCGCAGCCATCTTTGCCGCCCTGCATAAACGAAAAGAAGCGCCGCGACTCGCTCTCGGTCCCGACGTGTCAGACATCGGCGAATCGGATAGCGACAGAAAAGCTTGTCTTTTCCCTCCCGACCAACTATCTCATGTAGCACAAGGCTGTTGCCTATGGGCTGCAATCCTTTTCTTTCGGCACGCTTTTTCCATCTGTTGATGTGATGTGCTCAGCCAGCCGTGGGCGTGGCTTCAACTCAAATTCGCTCACAGCAAAGCCATAGGTTTCCTCTATAAGGGCAGGACGAGAGAAGGAAGAGCAAAGGACAGATTAAAGGGCCATTTCACACCCATAGCACACGTAGAAAAGGCTGGCCGCCCAACTCGTAAAAACTATTGCTGATGTCGTCACTCTTGCTGTATCACTGGGCTGCCACCTGACAAACTATTATACATTCCCCCGCACTCTATCAAAGCCCTTTTCTACCTACCACAGCTTCATCCCGCCACAGAGCAGACTAATAAGCAGAAACCAAGTCCGCGCCAAAAAGGCACAGCTTTGAACCTCCACCAAACCATGCCCGCCTGAGGGTGTCCTCGACAAACCTGCCTATTGGCCCCCAAATGAAGATTCTCCCATGGGCGGGAGAACCATCTCAGAGGCGCAGGCTTCGAATCGGCTGTGGATTCTTCCGACGGCACTAACGAAGGGAGATTCAGTACCGGTACATCTGTAGATTCTTACATGCAAGGAGAAAGGGCCCCGTTGGCGTTTAGCAGATTCACCGAGTCATACAGCAGCTGAGCTCAACACATCTCTCTCTCTCTCTCTCTCTCTTTCAGCTTTTGCTCGCAGCTTCCCAGACCCTCTCTAATCTAATGCAAGCCACCGGGATTTCTGCAAATTGAACGTATCGTATCGCTCTACCAAAGACCATATGTGGAGCGAGCCCCCTCCCCGGCAAGCAGAAGAGAGAGAGGGGGGCAAATCCTTCGTGTTATTCGCTGCAAACTCTCCATGATCTTCGCTTGGATTGCCATGGCTGGCCTTATCTACGGAGTTAGTCGCTGGACATCATATGTAGGAAGGGTTTTTCTTTCGAGCGACTGCACTCGTTTAAAGTGACTCCATAATCCCACTGTCATAATCAGCCCACTTTCTGCAGATCTAATGATATGTTGTGCTCTATTGCTGCTGTTATCAACTCGGTCCTCATTTTGAGGATTTACACCAAGGGGAGTGAGAATCAGGTTGGGAGCAAGCTCTGTTCTATTTATAGGCTTCCATCTCGGCGAGATTGATTTGATCTTCACCAGCGTCTCGTATACACGCCATTTGATTCTAGCTCAGCCGCTCAGCCTCTTTCCAGGGTAGCTGCCAAACCTCAACTCCCCCAGACAAATTGATCCTAGCTCTCATATATTCATCGGATTGCATTGTTCGGCTGCAGAATTTCCTTCAAAATGGGTATATTTTACTGTCTACGCCGTCTACTTCGCACTAAGCATATTCTACCTTTTCATCTGCCAACACACCATAAGCTACCCCTTCTTTCCTCCCAGTCTCAAGCACAGAGGAGCGAAAACCAACGCCACCTAGAATCTGTAGCCGCCGCTGTTGCCGCCGTGATCGCGGACCCTGTACTCATCATCATTCTCTTCGTCATCATCGTCGCGGCGATGATGTCTGCTCTCGCGGTAGTCGTCACCATAGCGCTCTTCCTGGCGCTCGTAGCTGTCTTCCCGGCGGCCATAACCAGATTGATAGTCATCCTCACGCCTCTCATAGGAGTCTGATTCATCACGGCTCCTGTGATGGCTGTGGCTGTGACTCTGGTGCTGGCGGTGGCCATGAGATCTGTTAGAACCTCTGCTGTCGCTCCTGCGCTCGCTATAGCCACCACCGTAGCTTTCCTCCGTAGATTGAGTGTATTCGTAGCGTTCGGTGCGACGCTCGTATGTGCTCTCTTGAGTCTCTCTTGTCTCTTCATAGCCAGAGCTTCCATAACCTCGGTTTCCGTACGAAGAATCCTGCTGCTCGTAGCGTTGGTACTCGGATTCACGTCCGCCGTCGGGACGATAGGTCTGAGTGTACTGGGCCTGGCCATATCGATCTCCTTGCTGGCCATACTCTGTCTGACGCTGCGTGTAGGAACCGTCCTCTCCATATTCCCGAGTGGTTTCTCTATTGGTTGAGCCCTGTTCAAAGGCGCCCCCTAGGAGATTACCAGCCAGGCCGCTGATGAGACCACCGATACCATCGTCCCCGCCCGACGATTGATGCTGAGATGATCCCAAGTCGATGCCGGTGTTCTGAGAAACAAACCCGGAAAGGGCACCAGTGGCGCCTGAGAAAATAGCTGTTGCAGCGGCACCAGCAATCTTGTCTTCAATGCCACCCTGGGGCTCAAACTCCTTGCGCATCTTCAGCTTGCCGCAACCATGACCAGTATCGTGGACACCCTCCTTGTGATTTTCGCCATTGAAGACACCTTGGGGAGAGAGCTTGCGGCGGTAGTCCTCTCGCTGTTCATCGCCCATATCGCCCCACCACTCTTGTACGGACGCAAAGATGAGCTGTCGCGCCTCGCGGACACCATCGTAACCCATTTCACGCTGGGCGGGGTGGTGCATGACACCGTTCACAATACGATCTAGCATGCGGTTGACATCCACCGACTCGTCATCAATTGCCTCCATAAGCTGTGGCACAACCCAGTGGAGCATTCTGGCGGCAGTTCGGCCGGCGATTTCGTTGAGGATCTGCATCCGTGTTAGCAAGCGAAGAGTCCTTTCTCTAGCTAGATGCTCAAATCAGAGGCTTACGTTAGAGAAATGATCCTTGGAGAGCATTGAATGGGTGGGGTTAGAAGAGTAATCGTCGTTGAAGACGATGTGCTGCTCTTTCTGGCTGCTTTCGATGATTTCGTAGGACCCTGTTTGTAGCTCGTTCTTGATCTGGTGAATCAGGGGCACAATAAAGGGTGCGATGATGGAGAAGACGAAGACGGATAGCTGCTCCTCCAATTGTTCGATAATCTTGGGGAGAATGGGGATTCTCTCAACTGCAGAGCTGATGCTCTTCATGATGCTATCGTGAAACTCGATGGCAGGCATGATCGACCTGTAAATATTTTTGACATACATGGTGAATTCTTCGGTATCCTTTGGAGAGACTGGCTCATTCTGCTCTTGGGCGGCTGCTGCATTAGACTGGATCTCGTCGAGCTTCTCTCCATGATTGCCTCCAGGAAGGATGCCGGGGGGCAGTTTGCTGAGGAGATTTTGAAGGAGGCTTGTGTCTCCCATCTTCCCCTCATTAAGTGCTCCCTCAAGCTCGTCAATCTCATTCTGAGTCAACTTATCGGATACTGGGGAAGCGTTAGTTATGATGATGTCGAATCACGGCGGCGGGCTTGGAATCTCTGCCTACCTTCTCCGGTGACGGAGTGGAGGAAATCAACGCCTCCAAATGTACCAGTTACTATAGGATAGACAGAATGGCGGGCACCCTCCAGTTGAATCTGAGTATTGCGGCCGACATGGGGAAAGACTCCACGCTCGCCCATTTCGATAAGCGCAAGTTCAGTGTAGTTGCTGTGGGCAAAGAAATCTATTCAGTTAAACATTAGTTATCGAGCCTTGTTCTTCTTGGGAGGAAAGAAAAGGTAAGTTGAAACGGGTAACCCGCAGGCCACGTATTCGACCATGCATTACTGTGCCAAGCAAGACAAGGCTGTCTTCTTAGGCGTGATTTATGCTTACCTTCTAGACAGTGAAGTCCTGTTCCCATCAATCGGAGCGCCTCATACAGATCTGGCTTGCTTCCCGAGTGCTTGTATTCGCGAGCCAGCTCGATACAGCGACCGAATAGAAGCCGCACATGTCTGGCAGACGTCATGATGCCGACTCGCTCGTTGGCAATATAGTTTTTCATGCCGGTTTCCGGGTCGATAGCAAGCTCGGTCTCCTCATCAATAGGGCCTCTTAGGCGGGGGTCATAGTCGCGGGCATCTTCACCCTCTGCGTAGCCCTTGGGGTTGTCAATGTGGTCTTCTGGACGATAGCACCCGAGACGTTCTGCTGTGACCTCGAACTCTCCAGAGCCGTAGCCGAAGGACATGAAGCCAAGGACGCAAAGAAGCAGTCGGATAGCCTCGGCAGACACCATCTTGACAGTTGCAACATCGATGGCCTGGGAGTAGTCACGCAGCCAGTTGCCAAAGTAAACTCGGGAGACGGTTCGCTTGTTGAATTTCTGGCCGCCCTTGATGGCATGGGCCATTGCTAGAGTCAGCAATGCATCTTCGATGTCACCGTGTCGCCCTATAGATGTTGCGATTAGTCATGCGAAAAGAAAGGCTTGAAGCACTCCAGGGGGGATCACGTACAATTCTGGCCCTCGACCTTGGAGATGGATGCAATGTTGCCGGCGCCGAAAGCTGCTGCCGGCTGAACCAAGCAAACAAGGAGCACCAGCCCCAGAAGGAACCCAGGCGCTCTAAAGTCGGTCATCGTGTCACCCTTTGAACGCTATGGCCTGACTATTTGATGTCTGTGGAATGTCCTGCCCAGCTTGTCGCCGTCAAAGCAGATATAGATACCAGATATATAGGTCGCAGGATTCAAGCTGTCCTGGCAAAAGTTACAGCAGGAAGAAAAGAAGGAAGAAGGAGAAGAGAGGGAGAAGGAGACAAAGAAGAGGGAATAATCAGACTGTTAAAAGAGAACAGATCCCCAGGCGGAGGAGACGAAAAACGACGAGGGAGGGGCGTATGGAGGGGCATTTTCCTGGTAGTAGCACCGGACCACGAAGCTCGCCCAATCGGCAGCTGGATCAGCTGTCAGAGAAAGTCTTGGCATATGCTCCAGGGCCCAACCAGGAGCGCCAGGCCCCGGAAACCGCTGGAGTCTTGGCGAACATCGCGAGCTATGAATGGCCCGCCGTCGAGAGATGAAATCATGTTGCGAGGGGCAGAAGAAACAGTGCCGGCGGACTCGCGACGGGCTTGCGCGCTGGTGGGGGACGGAGATACCTGCTCGTCTGGAGGAGCGGCCATACAAGCCGCAGGTACCTGGCCGCGCTTGTGACAGACGCTATCCATTTCGGCCAGGGGTCGTGCTTTGATGCATTACGGAAACGCAGCCTGAGTGGTGGCGGCGGTGGGACGGCGGTAAGGTTACTTGATACTTTGTTTTTAAAACGACATCGCTTCAACGCGCCGCAGTCACTGTCCACGATGGAGAGCCTCTCTGCTGATGGCGAGACATTGCGGAGCGAGGCCGCGATTGTCAAGGCTGAGCTGAGCTGAGATTGACATCACCTTCTGGCCCTTGCTTTTGCCGTGTACTGTAGGGCTGACCCTGATGATTCATCCTCCCCAGTCTCTCGTCTCACACAAGCTCTGGCTGCGTGGTGCTGCTGGTTTCATGGACCCCGCTAAAAGGTTCGAGTTCCCTTTAGCTGGTTTGTGGTGCCGCTGCATCGCGTGCCCATTGCCATGCTGAAATCGGTGGGTTGAAGAGCTGCCCCGGCAGTTTGGCGAGCAAAGTAGGGCGTCTATGGGTAATACAGCACGGTATGCATGTGCACAGCATTAAACAGAACATTGCTGGTACGCGGTCTGCCACATGAATTCTCAACAGCAGAAATAATCATGCACATACAAGGAAAGATAGGCAGGAAAGCTCTCTACTTGAGTGACGACTGATGGTATTTATGTGGCAAGAGGACGGATTTCTTTGACCTAAGCTGCAGCCTTGTCTGTCAGACAGCTTTTTGCCTTTTGGCGCCGCAATGGCTGCTGTATCGCTGTGTTTGAATCCATCTAAATCATTGTATCCTTCGGATGAAAGTATGTAGCGAGTGCTTGAGCATGACGCAAAGCTATATGCGCTTGTCCTCTTCGCAAAGATCAAAGCTACTCAAAACCCATCTGCATATTCCGTCTGATATGGGTACCTTATAAGTAAATTAGTGCTCCCAAGCATCTGTTGAAGAAACTTGATGGGAGCCATGATGGCATGAGGTGGCGAGACAGCCCTGGAAGAGGTGCTGCTGGTGTGGCAGGCAAATGTAAATGCAGGGGTTGCAATAACTGAGGCTGCTGCTGAAAATACCGTGCTGGTTGATACAGAATGCACTCTATGCAGGCTCAATGGCTGTTAAGCCCATCCATACGAACAAATGTGCTCTAATTCTGGTTAAAGGTAGCACTGGAGCAGCTGCTGAGGATTGCCACATGCCCGTACGAGTTAAGTGCCTACATGCGTTGCAAAGAAGCGCGAGCTGATGCAAATAGCCCGCCAGTTACTGCCCGACAAGAGCCTGATAAACAGCAACGCGCCGAGCGTACGCTATTGAAGCAATCAACGACTCAATGATCTATCAACGCAAGTAAAATATAATAAGAGCAAGGTCAGAGATACAAGAGTTTTCTAGCTCTGCTATCAGCTGCCTAGATCTTGGCTTGATGCCCATGCCCCCGTCGATCTGGCGTAGGATGCCGCTGTCTCAAAGCCTGTGCTGCCAATATGGTGCTTACAAGTGGACAGGTGTGCTACGGGCTTTCTAGTAGCGTCGTCATAGACCTTCTGGGCTGCTCAGGGTGGAGGGCATGGCATTGATTGCATCTAGGTATATGCGCGTTTACGCTCCAGCGTGCAGTCCGTTCTACTCCGTGGCGGCCGTTTAGCTACGTGTGCCTGAGTGAGCGGCTCAATATTAATTAGGTGCCCTCTCGCAGTCTCACAGCGCAAGACGCCAAGTCAGCCAGTCGACACAACAATCAAATGGCTTGGGCCAGAGAGAGGGAAGGAACAGGTCGGCCGATCAGGTGCGCCCAGAGGCGGGGTAAGCCCGTGCAGGCGCAATGGCAGGAGCGCCCAAGGCACTTCCAAGGGCTCGCTGGCTGATTCGATTCAGGTTCCAGATGTCGCCCGTCGCCCGCTGACGCCTGGATCAGCGAGCCGAGCCAGCGGTAAACACAGCACTTGGCCCCAAGCCGGTCTCTTCAGTGGCAGCGACTTGCCGCTTTTAGGCGCTGAAACTTCAGTGGTGAGGGGCCATCATCATCGTGCTGAAATGTACGCCACGTACGCTGCGGCGCCAGAGACCCCCGAAGACCGCTAGCATTCTTGGGCTTCAATTGGCCTGTCGGGTGCTGTCCGTCCCAGTGTCACCGTGCAGAGAACTCGATCAACGGGACCCCCCAGCACTGGCTGAGATCAATCTCCAGAGACTGGTGAACGCCATCTCCGGGGGCATTTTAGAAGGTAGCTAGCAGGTATTGCTGGACCACCAAGCTCGAGAACAGGCGGCTCCAGAGGGTCGGTGATGGGCGCGCTGGCAGCGGAAAGCCAGCACATGGCGCGCAGCAAACTCATCTAGACAGCATAGCGCACTTGAAAACCAGCAACGACAGCAACATCATGTGATACGCGCGAAATATGAATTGGCTTTGCATCGGAAATAATAGGAGAGTACGCACAAAGTACGCGGTGCTCTGTATAAAATGATGTGTGTGCAGACGAGAGAAGAATCCAGCGCAGAGGGAAAGACGTGCAGGTGGAGCGGGCGACTTGACCGCCCACTGAGATGCATAGCGGCTGGGCTATGCTGGATACTGCCAGGCCTGTTGATAATTGCTGGGCTGCATGGTGCTGTCGTGATGCAGGCTGCTGCTGTCGACAGCTCTGGCTGCTGGTATGGGGCGGATGGGGATGGGCTTGTGCTGCGACCAAAAAGTTCACAGGTGGTTTTAGGTGCTCCGTGGGCAGACAATGGCCTCAACACATCGAGCTGGCTCTCGTCGAGGTCAAATTCCATCGTGCCAGCGGGTAAGCTGAGCGTGCCATGAGCAACGCAACGGCTGAGGGGCGCTGCCAATGCTGGAGCGCTACAGCAGGGCGCCCAGCCCATGGATCGTGCGGATATCCGCGGCCGGCTATAGGTTCCAGTGGCCAGAGCCCAGCGCGTCCAGCGGCCCAGCTGCTGAGGAACAGGCCACGAGCGCAGTGCGGGGTCTCGCTATCAGACAGGGCAGGGCAGGGCAGACCATGGCCGTCTTTCGGACAGAGGGCCATTAATAGCAGCACAAGCAACCGTTGCTTCAAGTAAAATCAGTGCGCGGGCGGGATGGGCCTCTGGTTGGGCTGGAGCCTGGCGGCTGTGCAGAGATTTCAATTTCCAATCGAAACAGCCAGTCGACTGTCTGCGTACGCGCCAGAAAATGCAGCGGGTGCTGTTAGCACGAGCAATCACCGCAAAATAGCGGAGTACCACCTGGCCTTGGAGGGTGTGAGAGGGGGCTGGGAGGGGCGCCAGCCCAAAAAAAAAATGAGCCAGAAAAAAAAAAGTCGACCGCTGCGGCTGCCGCTTGGTGATTGCGCGCGCACCCAAGATTCCCGGCTCAGGTACTTATTGGGCGCACCGCCCACCACCCAGCCCCAACCCCCGAAATTCTATTTTCCCCCGTTCTTCAGCACTCTCCCCCTCCCATCAATCCCCCCAAGCCGCACCACTTTTCACCCTCATCCCGCTATCCTTTAGATCGCTTCCAGCGGCCCTTTTTCTTGCCAGAACTTCGCAACAGCGCATCTGCCTTTTGAGCCCTGCAGGACACAAAAGCAAGAAGCTACAAGAGGCGCACCGCACCGCAACGCGCCCAAAAAAAATTCCAGCAGCACGCCGCCACTAGAGCAACCACCAAGCCCGTCATCATCCACCATGCCTCGCCCGCCCAAGAAGTCTGCCGAGGAGAAGGCTAAGGCCCTGCCCGTGGCCGTTGTGCCTCCTCCCACCATGGTGCCCGCGCCCGTCGTCGGCGGCCTGCACCCAGCAGTAGTTCCCGCGCCTGTCGTGTCTGGCGTGCCCCAGCGCGTTGTCGACAACGACAGCTTCCTGCGCGTGCGCGACTCGGTGAGTTTTATTTCCATCTAGACTGGTCTTCATTTCCGCCCACCGCCTCATGGAGAGGTGAGAAGAAGAAAGAAACGCAGAGCCAGGACGCGCACTAGCGCCAGGGACTGCGTGTGTGCCGCTGTCATTTCTTTTGCTCGTGCTGCTGCCGAGTGGCAAGCTCGAGTGACGTCGAGCGAGCCGGGATTTGTCTCTTGGCTGAAAAATGTGTGGCCATGTGCCTCGCTTCTGCCGCCTGTGGAACGCCAGGACGAGACAAAAGCCCTTATCTCTCGCCAGAGCAGCAGAGAGAAAAGGCGCAGGTTCAATTTCCTTGCACATGTCTTTTTTTTCTTCTGCGCTTCACCGAGAACTCGCGACCTGCGCTGCCAGCCCCTCAATTGTTTACATTTGGATGCTGGTCTAGCCCCGCGTCTCGCTGGGTCGTGCCGCCTGGAGCTGCTTCCTAGTGGGAACTTGCAAGCTATAGCTCTCCACTTGAGAGAGCTCTGCAGCAGCTCTGCTTTAGCGCTGGCCTTGGCTCATCCCGTCCGCCGCCGCCATGTTTTCTCGTCCCCCCTAAAGCAAACCGCTGAAGCTCTTTACTAACAAGCTCAACCAGGCCGTTGGCAGACTCACCACCATTCTGGAGCTTCTGAGGTCCTTCACCAATGACTACATTCGCCAGACTAACCTTCTGCTCGGCGAGGGCACTGCTGAGGGCCCCCAGGGCGACCTCCTCAACACCTTTGAGAATGCCGCTGCCCAGCTCATGATGCCTGGCATCCCAGACATGACCCCCCTCGTTGAGGAGAAGAAGGAGCGCAAGAAGCGCACTCACGACCCCAACGCCCCCAAGCGTCCCCTGACCCCCTACTTCCTCTACATGCAGCATGCCCGCTCCATCATTGCCAACGACCTTGGCGCTGATGCTCCCAAGGGCGCTGTTCAGGAGGAGGGCCAGCGACGATGGGCTCACATGACCCCTCAGGAGAAGCAGGGCTGGAACAACGCCTACCAGTACAACCTGCGCCTCTACAATGCCCGTGTTCACTCCTACAAGAACGGCAACCCCCTGGCCAAGAACATGAGCGATGAGGAGGCGCTTAAGTACGCCGAGGACTTCCACATCCCCATGCCAGAGCTCAAGGAGGCCGCTGCCCAGGCCGACGTCCCCGTCAATGACCAGGATGCCATTGCCGAGCAGCTGCAGCAGGTTGCCGCCGCCCCCTCGGAGAATGAGGAGGAGGCTCCGGCCAAGACCCCCAAGAAGCCCGCTTCCACCCGCAAGCGCAAGACTGCCACCCCTGCCGCTGAGGTAGAGACGCCAAAGGTCGCTGCGCCCGCCAGCCCGGATAAGAAGCGGAGGAGGACGTCGACCAAGGCCGCCGAGCCTGAGAAGGAGGAGCCCAAGAAGTCGGGACGCAAGAAGACTAAGAGCACTTGAGTAATGAACGTTTCTTGGCTGTAGCAGCCAAAGCTGCTGCTCTTCCTGCCGTCAATTGCTTCTCTTGTTGTCTCCATCCGAGCAGCTGGAGAGGGGACTTGTAGAGGAGAGAGCAATCTTTTATCCTCCGCACTCATCTCATTCTACATCATCTTGTGTTACCTACAAACCGCAACTACAGAATTGCGGAGAAGATTGTCGCCTTTGTTTTTAGCAAGTTGGCTCTCGGTTTTCGTTTTTGGCTCTAGTAAGAGCCATGATACCTTGCATGAGAATGCCGCAGGCTCTTTGGTCTGTGGCTTTCGTTCTCTTCCCATCTGATGGGCTTACCTATACGGGCCTGCCCTTCATATGTGTGTGTTTTGATATGATGAAGGATCCAATTTTTTTCCCCCATATCCTTTTATTATATCGCTTTGTTTTGGCTGCTCTTTGAGCTGCAGTCTGGCGGTCAGTATAAAAATGGTTATAAGGGCGTATAGTTTGTTATTTCTCTCTTTTTTGGCTGGTTAGTTCTATGGGACAAAGGGCGGAAGGGCGGTTTTACGTCGTGTATTTAAGTCTCCAAGCTCGTGTTGAACGGCCGAACTTTGTATGCGATAATGAAAGCAATGATTAAGCAAAATGACTGACTCTTTTGCATCTTTTGTGACACCTATACTTGACTTGTAAGAACTGGCTTGTTTATCTTTACTCGAAGAGAGAGTGGCTGCCCAGATAGTATACTACTATCTGGATATACAAAACCTCCAAGAGGAGTATAAGACAACTACAAATGCTTACACCGCCACCACCATACATCACGTCGAAGTGCCATCAGAGGCGCTCTGAACCGTTCATCTCTACTCAGATAGAGCAAGTTGCTGCCCAGCTGCCAAATACTATTCATGACATTGGGAGCTGCTATCTAGTATTGTCATATGAATACACAAAGCCTCTAAGAGGAATAAGTACAAGACAACAACGAATGCTTACACTGCCACCATCATACATCACGTCGAAATGCAATCAGAGGCGCTCTGAACCTCCCAAAACTTCATATACCTCTCATAAGCCCCTCGGCCATCTTCTTCTCGAACACGCTGCAGCCACTCCTTATCCGGCTCGGCTTGCAGGCGACAATCAGGCGTGGCACCCGCTTTGAGCAGAATCTCGACAATATGCCAGTTCCCGCGGATGATGGCCGCATTGAACGCGCTGCCATACTTTCCTCCGCGCAAATTGCAGTCGGCTTTCTTATCCAGCAGCAGCCTTACGGATGCGGTCTGACCTGAATATGCGGCTGCCTGAAGGGCCGTGCCGAATATGCCTCCTTGGGCATTGACGTTGATGTTGGGGCGCTGCTCGAGAAGCAGTTTTGTCTTGACGCAGGGGTAGTCGATGTCAGTAAAATACTGGCCGTAAGGTTTAGGCCTGTATTCTGCCGCACATGCTGCTTGGAGCGGGAAGCCGAATTCCCCAGCCATGATGTCAGCATCAGCGCCGCGCTCAAGAAGCAAGCGGGCAGTTTCGTATCTAAGTGGCATTAAATGATCATAGCTTAGACTCCAACATTCAATGGCCGCATGCAGAGCTGTCCCATATTCTTCATGCACGTGGTTGATGTCGATATGGTCAAGGAAAAGGTCGAGAATAGGAACGGCATCGCTGCTGTCTAACAGAGCAGCCATATGCCAGGCTAGACAGTCCCGACGACGCGGATCAGCACCGCGCTCCAGCAGCAGTGAAACCACCCCAAGACTCACCCCGTGACTCGCCCCGTGAGTGCAAGCAGCTGCAAGTGCTGTTCCATATATCCCGCCTTCTGTATTTACATTTGCACCATGATCGAGCAGCAATTGTACCATCTCGACAGCATCTTCTCCCCTCAGTCGTGCGCAGGCAGCTATAAGTGCGCTTCCATATTCGCCGCCATCTGCGTTCACATCAGCGCCGCGGTCCAGCAGCAGACGCACGCCTTCAACGCCTAATCGACGGTTTCCGCAGGCCGCAGCAAGCACAGATCCGTATTTTCCGCCTGTTATATTGACATCAGCGCCATGCTCAAGGAGCAAGCCACACAGTTGGTCATCAACATCCCAGTTCCAGTAGGCGGCCTGCAGCGCAGTTCCATACTCTCCACCTTGTTGGTTGACTCGGGCGCCCCTTTCCATGAGCAGCTCTACTATATCCAGCACTTCTTGCTCTCTATCCCAGGGTTCCCCAGCCACGGCAGCTTGAAGCGGCGTAGCGAATCGGCCACTCTCTTCGTTGACATCGGCGCCGTTGTCGAGAAGCCAGCGCACAGTCTCTGTTGATCCTTCGTTGCAGGCGATATGTAGCGCCGCTCCCAACTCTCCATCTCCTTGTTGGTCGATCTCGGCGCCATTATCGACGAGCAGCTTCATAATCTGGACAGCCTCGGATGACATGGAACTTGCTGCTGCATTGAATGCTGATCCGTACAACCCTCCACGAATGTTCACATCAGCGCCATGTTCAATGAGAAGCTGTACCACCGAAATCATTCCCGCAGCTCCATGGTGACACACAGCTTGTAGTGCTGTGCCAAGCTCTCCCCCCCGAATATTGGGGTCTGCGCCTCTCTCCAACAAAGTTTCAACCCAATGAAGAATTTGAGGTACACCACCGCGTATACATGTTCTCTGAAGCGGCGTGTAATACTCTCCACCAACAGCGTTTACGTTTGCATTTCTTTCCAACAGTAGCTTACACAGGGAAAACCGATTGCTGCCAATTGCTTTGTAAAGCGTCGTACCATCAGAGCTGCCCTGCATATCGATGTCAGCACCACTATCAAGGAGGAACTTTAGGCATTGAATAGGCTCCTCCTTTATGCTGGTGAGCAAGCATCTCCCTCTTTCCGACGGGTCATTAACATTCGCTCCGAATTTCACAAGAAGCTCCAGGGCACTCAGTTTGCCTTTTGATGCTGCTGCGAGCAAAGCCGAGCCCCATTTCTCGCCCTCTGCATTGGCGTCAGCGCCAGCTTCAAGAAGGGTCTTCATCGCCTCTATATTCCCTTCAGAGGCCGCATATTGGAGCGCTACATCCAAGTCTTCTTGAGTGCTGTACGCATTTAGCTCCTGAGACACCAGCATCTGGGTCGACCGACACAGCCCGAGCCAGGCAGTATAGCCATATGATTGCAGTCGTAGAAAGTCCGGAATGTTCACATTATGGAATTCACGATTTATTCCAAGTTGGTTAAGGAGTTGGTTGAGGAAAGATTGGCTGTGGGCGCCAAGCACGAGAGCAGCATCCTGTGCCATCTTAGGCGGCCATCTTGCGCACGGAATCTCTTCGAGATGGATCATCCAATAGTCGAGCATATATTTCGCCAAGCCCGAGACCTGATGTTGAAATTGCCTTGCGATCTCGGTGCTAAATTGGGCGAGATAGGCGAGACACGAGCGCCCAATGGAGATATGTGCCTCGATCTCAGTAAATGCAAAGGCCGGGGCGCTTTCCACAATCCTAGTCGAAATGAAATACTCTTTCAGAGAGAAGTGGACTAGACGGACTTCAATGACCGAGTTGCGGCCCTTTTGGGTGACAATTAAGCCAGAAAAATACTTGAGTATGTCTTCAGGGGAAAAGAGACGCTCAGCCTCATCAATGACAACATCGCCGTGTAGTCGAAGAATGAATATCTCAGAGAGCTGCCCAAGAGTTAAAGTTTTCATTGAAAAGGCCAGCCATTTCAGTGAATTTATAACTTGATCTTTGAAATCGGAATTAATATTCGTAAAGATTCTGTCATAAGTTGCGTCAAGTCCTGCAGGAAGGTTTTCCAGAGCCCTATGGATCAAGCTCTCAGATGACAGATTTTGGAGTATTTCAAACTGACACTGGACATATTGAAACCTGGGTACCGCCCTGTCGTTAATAATAACATTGTATGGATCTTTTGTTGAAGCATTTCATTACTCACGTGCAATCTGCTTTATCTATTAACGAGTTTCTCGCTTGCATTTTTATGCTCTCTGGCCAAGACTGGAAATCCTCACTTGCCAGTTTTGAATCAATATAATGGAGTATATCGCGATTGAGAATCTCCCGATGAGCTAATAAGTCAATTTCGATTTTCAAAGGCTCAGACAAGTGAGCACGTATCTTAACGTCAATGTCAGGCTCCTTGCGGCTTGTTAAAAACACGTGGAGGCTATCAGGTGCATTGGCTAGGATATAACGTAAACTCTTAAGCAGCTTTTCACGGCGCCCATTGAGCATCGGGCACTCATCCAAGGCGTCGATTACAACGTAGACATCTGAAAACCCATCCAAGGACGTCATTAAGACCTCTTGGAGTGTTTTGATATCAGGACGCTGCTCTTTAGCCATATAATCGCCAAGACGCTGGAGTATTTGTTTGTTGGGCTGGCAGGAGTTGATCTGCTTCACAAGAGATGCCAGCATGCCATCAACATTTTGCTTCTTGGGATCACTAAAGCTGAAGTAGAAGTAGGCCAGTGCGGTTGAAGGCTTTGAGGCATGACGGTCTTGCAAGTGATTGATGACTGAAGAACTTAAAATTGATTTACCTGAGCCAGCTGCAGATAATTTAGCCACTCTTCTCAGCAGATAAACTGTTGCCATTCAAATAAGCAAAAACACTAGACATGCCTTTGCCGTGAAGCCACAATAACGAGCTCTTGCCTTCTTCCCAAGCCTTGAACTCATCACTATCTTGTACTAGCCATCCACATGTGCCAGCCTCATGCTTATCGCGCGCAGCATTGTACATCGAGGACGGGTCGATATCGCAAAGCCATCGTAGCAGCCCGGTATAATCTTGAGCTTCCTTGCTCGCGTTTGCCTCTGCCAGTGCTGCTTGGTGCCGATTTTCAGCCGCGATGGATTCCTCATGGAGCCGTATATCTCGCATAATGGTTTCAACAGCGATGAAATTGTTATTCTTTTCATGAACCTCAGCGAGCAGTTGACTCCAATCATTCCATTTAACAGCATCAAGACCGAGACGGAAAGCTGAGTTTTTGGAGTAGTAGCAACAGCTTATGACTTGAAATTTTAAAATTTGCCTATAAAGGCTCTCTAAGGCGACCATGTATTGGCCGTGCGATAGTCGGAATGTTTCATGACTGCTCGAGCCTGGTTTATAACACTCGTTGTAAAACTCTTCTCTCATTATACTCTGCGTGATAAGAGATGCAATGTCCCCCAACGCTTTCGCTAAAGAGTCCCTTTGCTTGGATGGGTTCATCAAAAGCTATCGTCTAAATGAATATAAACTGAAAGAATACATGTAGATATTCGTAGTTTTACTTACTGGAAGCATAAGGCTGACGCCAGTCCACGCAATCGAGGTGTATGGGTTGGCGCTCGCGGCACTACTGATGTAGTCGTTGGCCGAATCTACAATCTTTAGAATGAGCTGCACAGCCTCTGTTGCCGGGACCTCAGTTTTGCCAAGCTTTGATGCTTTTTTGCTGACTTCGTTCATTCTCTCTTCCAAGACTGTTCGCAGCTGGTCTCTCATATTTGGCTTCAGATGGAGGCTTTCCCTCAATCCGGCGGCGATGTTGCGCTGGAAGCTCTTCTCATACTCGGCGATAAGAGCACCGTCCTCCTCTCGTAGGTTTTCATATGCCACGTTCCAAAGCTCGCTGATTGGCGTATCTTCTATTCGAACTTTGGGCCTTTGAGCCGTTTCATTTTCTTGGGCATCGCCCAACTTGACAGTATTGTTTTGATTACTGGATCTATTAGTCGGCGTCTCTCTTTTGAATTTTTTCTTAAACCGGTCTTTTAGCCCCATTTTGAATTCCTATCATGTTCCTCTTTCCTGGTTGGTTTCCGAAATGTTGATAGCCGCATGAAGTGGGGTGAGTATGAAGTAAGTCAAAGAGACAAAAGCCGTTGCAGCCTGATCGTGATTCCGTTAGGCCCAATCTCACAGCGACAGGGCATATGTAATTTGCAGCAACTATTGGACGGTAGCCGTGCAGAACAACCCACTGCGAGAGCCATAGCAAATCGGTACATGCAAGATGACTGACTTACACCAACCGACTCAAGCTAAATGCAATCTAATGCTGCATTTTATAAAGGATTTCTTTGTCAATTACTACTATTATTAACTCCTTGGGCACCGAAGTTCTAATATTCTTATCCTCAATCCAACAACTCATTAATTATATATAAATACCTAATATGCACCGATCATGTCGACTGCTTTCAATAGGTTGATATAAACATAAGCGGGTTACTGCACTGATATCATCTTAGGTACTGAGCACTACAAAATACGCCAGCTGAGGTGAGGTAAACAAAAGTTTAGGGACCCAGGCCTATAGTTCCTTAAATACGGAGAGTAATACTCCATAGCTACTTTAATAAATAGCTCTAGCATTGTCATCTAGATATAAATCAATACACATACCAAGCCTGTGTCAAGGGCAGCGTAGTCGCTGGCTCAGCAATGCACACCCGTCCATCTGCTTCAACGACGTAGCTCTCCGGATCAACCCTCATTTTAGGCATGACATCGTTGAAGCGCATATCCCGCTTGGATACGTTGCGACATCCCTTGACAGCCTCAACGCGCTTGCGCAGGCCGTACGACTCGATGGCGCCAGAGGTGATGGATTCGTTGGAGACAAAGAGGATGCTGGTTTGCGGCACCAGTGGGGCGAACATGGGACGGGCGATGATGGGTTGGACGGTGGGGATGGAGGCGTTGGGGTCACCCTGGAGAGTTGAAATATTGTTAGTTGAACAAGGTGTCTCGAGGCGGAAGCAAGCAGTGTATATAAACACTTACCATCTGAGCCAAGGCAATGAGTCCGCTCTTGATTACCAGCGACGGCTTCGTGCCAAACCAAGCTGGGTCCCAGACCACCAAATCTGCCAGCTTGCCCACCTCGATGCTGCCAATGATATGGCCGAAGCCTTGTGCCAGAGCCGGATTGATTGTATACTTGCTCACGTAGCGCTTCACCCTAAAGTTATCGGCGCCCGTTCCGGCGTCTTCTTCCAATGTGCCCCTCTGCGACTTGTTCTTGTCAGCCGTGTTCCACGTCCTGAGAATGACCTCGCCGCATCTTCCCATGGCCTGTGAGTCAGAGCTCATCATGCTGATGGCGCCGAGGTCGTGGAGCACATCCTCCGCGGCGATGGTCTTGTCACGGATTCGACTTTCGGCAAACGCAACGTCCTCCGGGATGTCCTTGGATAGGTGGTGGCACACCATGAGCATGTCCAAGTGCTCGTCGAGGGTGTTGGAAGTGTAAGGTCGGGTAGGATTGGTCGATGAAGGAAGCACATAGGGGTGCTCAACCACGGAGATAATGTCTGGGGCATGGCCACCACCCGCGCCTTCAGTATGATATGTATGGATGGTGCGGCCCTTGAAAGCTTCGATGGTGGACTCGACAAAGCCAGACTCGTTTAGCGTATCGGTGTGGATGAGACACTGGACATCGAGCTCGTCGCAGACTGTGAGGCATGAATCAATTGCTGCCGGTGTGCTGCCCCAATCCTCGTGCAGTTTGAGGCCACAAGCTCCAGCGGCAACCTGCTCACGCAGGGCGCCTGGGGAGCTGTCGTTGCCCTTGCCAGTGATACCAACATTCACAGGGAGCTCATCACAAGCCTGGAGCATCTGTCGCATATAGTTCTTGCCCGGAGTACAAGTTGTCGCATTGGTGCCAGCACTTTGTGAATTACATCAGCCAAAGCCTCAAATATAGGACGCATGTAGATGCATCAGATGTGTAAGTGAAAGGAGCATGTGCAACTTACCTAGGTCCCACGCCACCTCCCAGCAGCGTAGTGACTCCTGATGCCAGAGACTCGTTCGCTTGCTGTGGACAAATGAAATGAATATGAGTGTCAATACCGCCGGCCGTGATGATCTTTCCTTCTCCAGCAATAACATCGGTACAGCTGCCAACGACCATTTCAGGCGTTACGCCTTCCATGACATCAGGGTTGCCTGCCTTGCCGATTCCTACAATGCGGCCATTCTTAACACCAATGTCGGCTTTGTAGATGCCTGTCCAGTCAACCACAAGCGCGTTGGTCACCACCAAGTCCAAAGAGTCCGCATCTGGCCGTCCAGAAGCTTGCCCCATGCCCTCTCGCAATGTCTTGCCGCCGCCAAACTTACACTCATCACCATAAACAGTACAATCTTTCTCGACCTTGACCCAAAGGCTTGTATTTCCTAAGCGGACCAAGTCGCCAGTCGTGGGGCCAAACATTGTGGCATATGCGGCGCGATCTATCTGGAAGCCGTCGATGTGGGCAGAATCAGCAAAAGGCTCTGGTGTGTGTGCGAAGCCAGCCTTTTGCAGACTTTCAACGATATCATTGACTCTCCATAGCTCCAGGCCTCCGGTGGCGAGGTTGTTTCCTCCGCGGATGACCTTGTTACCCCCAATTTCCACAAGAGTCACTGTTTTAGTGTCTCCGGGCTCAAATCGGACTGAGGTGCCTGCAGGAATATCAAGACGATGCCCGTATGCCTTTTCACGATCAAAATCCAGCTGCGGATTCGTCTCGATGAAATGATAATGCGAGCCCACTTGGATAGGTCGATCACCCTTGCTTGTCACTCTGAGCTTTACCCTCTTGCGGTTCTCGTTGAGCGCTATCTTGCCTTTGACAGCCACCACCACGCCAGGCCGCGAAGTAGGCTCATATTCCTCCGGGGACGCAAGAGGGAACAGGCTAGCATCTGGAATGGGCAGAAAGCTCCCATACAAAGCCCGAGCAAGATCACCGTCGTCTGTGCGGATTGGATTGTGAACAGTGACCAGATACGTGCCCATGGGGAATGTGCCTTCAACCTGGATTTCTGTCAGAGTAGAGCAGACGGAGGGCTGGACATGGCGGCGGCCCAGCATAGTAGAGCCGATGTCCATGAGATCTGCGACGCTGTGGTTGCCATCGCGGATGAGTTCGTGCAGGTTGTTTGCAATAAGCGCCTTGTAGCAGCGAACTGAGTTAGCTATGTAGTCTTTTACCAATCAACTGCGTATAAGCTGCAGTAGCCGAAGATGCTAGCTGCTGAATGATGGCAGCAAAGCTCGAGGCATGATCCAATTTCGTACCGTTGCTTCGCTGTGGTTCAGTTTGACGCCTCTGGCAAGCCGCTTCTGCGCCAGAAAGCCCACCTGCGAGATGACGAGCTTGTCGAGCTGTACGTTGATGGTTAGGCGCGAGATCCACTATAGCTCTTAGGAGAGGACAGTGTCCGGCGCACCTCTTTTGGTACCAGGTGCATTGTGTCACCCAGCTTCAGATAGGACAAGTTATGGAATTATGGGAGCAATAAGAAAGACAAAAGCCTACCATCCGGGGTCGCAAAATAAAACTTGAGCTGTCATGCAGCTTTTCCCCGCAGAGCGATGGTTGACGCTGAACCTTCAGTGTCGATAGATAAGGACGGTTGATACGGGCGGTACCTGTTACGTACCTCTCTGTTCGCCTTTATCTTTCCAACCCAGGAGCTAGGCCTGTCATTCTAAGCTTAGACACCTTAGCTGCTAATAGCTTCAACACGGCATTGACGTCCAGCGCTCTTCTTACTACAAGCGATGAGAAAGATGGATTTGCAAATATCGTGGTTGTGCAAATCGTTGATTCCACAAAGGAGATTCTAGGAAAGTCCTAACTCGGCCTCACTATTTGCCAAGATGCCTCATATATAGCATCCAGGTCATTGCAAAAGCGTCGTCACCTGCATAAAGAAATACCAGTGTAAAAAAGAGAGCCAACATTCCTCGTAACCAGGAAGTTTCAATTGCTCAACATTGGATAATGATATCTATCTTTGCCCGACTTGCGCAAGCCAATCCAAAGCCTCCCAACGCCAGTACAATAAATCAATACTTCTGTAAGTCATGCCCCCAAGGCCGCCCAAAATTAACAAGACCAAGGCCAGCCTTCCAAACACCTAGAAAAGCCATTCCGAATAATCTCAAATTTACTCCTCTTCAATCTCGTCGTCCCATTGATCCTTCTCCTTCTTTATAAGCTCAGCCATTTCTTCAGGTTTAAAGATGGAACTGTCTGGGTCCTCGACTCGTGGAACCTTGTTCAAATTCTCGTCGTCAAAGACAGATCCTATCGTGTCTATCCATCTCCTCCGCCGCTCCATCAGCGTCTTGGTCAGGTCTCCTATTCCTGGCCGCGCCATGCCTGCTGCGCCTCCGACAAAATGGCTGCCACCGCCTGCACCTCCGGGGCGCTTAGACTTCTTGCTCTTCCCCATCGTTCGCGTGCGCTTCAGATATGCGGCATTGACTTGCGAATCTAGATCCTCAAGAATGGTTTGGTATTCTTGATGAGCCATCCGCTCACGCACCAAATCCATCAGCCGCGCTTTGCGCGCACCATTGACGAGCATCTGCTCTTTGAGTCTAGCCTGCAGCAACCGCAGTCTGCCCGCGACCTCGTCGTCAAAGTGGCCGTCATACTCAGTTTCAATGCCTTCTTGTGGGAGAAAGCCAATATGACGAAGCTCCTGCTTAAGCCGCTCCTCAACCTGGGCATATTCAAGCTTTGGATGTGTAGCCTTTTTCCATGCTTCCGTAGATGACTCGGTCATAAAGGTAGCCGGGGGTACCGGGCTTGATTTATCCTCTGCAACTCCATTCGGTTCGTCTCCATTAATGTCTCCATTCATGCTGACGTCGCCATTTGTAATACCGTTAGTGGTGGGCTTATCATCAGATGACGGTATTCGCGACTCAGGGCGCAGTGCCTGCAATAATCGCGTCGCAAGGGGGCCGATGGACAGCGCATCCGTCTCAGCTACGTTATCATTCATATTATCGATGGTGCCACGAGGCTGGTTTGGAGGCAGCTTGTCACGATTCTGCTG